TTTACAACTAACCCCAGGAGCCTCAGCATTCCTTTTTGATAATTGTTTTATTAAATTATGTAAATACTAAATTTGAAAGTGCCAAGTGCATTTTCAAGAAACCTCCACAGATACTAGGTTGAAGAGAAATACCAGTAGAGGGGTCCTGAAGTAGAGGCAACACGGAGTGGAATATTTCTGAAAATGGTTTATTTCCCCTTAGTCTGTGAGGAATCATATTGAATGGAGAAATCAAACCATTTCCTTTCAGTGCCTAAACCTTGGGTTAACACCTGTTGGTATGCTTAGCTTTTTGTGTGGTGTCTAGGGAGCTAAGTGATGAAGACAGTGTGGCCTTTCTCACCTCATCACTTTGCTGTGAGGAAGTCATTTCCAGAGTAGGGGAAAGTGGCATAAAAATCTAGATCTGATGTGTAAATGGTTACCACTCAAGAAATAACTAGTATACTTCACTCCAGGAATTGAAGCAGCTGCCAAAGGTTGGCTCAGCTCAGGAGAGGATATAAGGCAGACATCTGTACCCCAGATAAAACATAGCCAGTGAAGTGTTAGGAGTTGATTCTGTAGACATAAACATATGTGTTTGAGACAGAGAGAGACTCATGTATCACAAGCTCGAACTCATTACATAGCCGAGGATGACCTTCAACTTTTGATCCTTCTGCAGGGTTTCCCGAATGCTAGACAAGCACTCTACCAACTGAACTACATCCCCAGACCTGTGGTGACAAATACTAAAGAGAATTTTGTTCCCAGTTTCCTGGTTACTCTCGTGTAACTAAGGAGAAAGTAACAAACTTGGGGAGAAATTATTTCTATATTGAAGATGTATGTGCCAGACAGTACACATTTTATATGGGTTACCTCAGGAAGGACAGGCAGAACTGGGGAGAATGGAGGAATTGTAGATTCATCCTTGCTCCTACTGGGTGAAGATATGACTCACCATATTGGGTCATAAGGTAGGAAACACATATTGGTAGATGTAGTCCTGGACTACATCAAGTAGCCAGACTTTCAGGCCTGCAATGTCTTATTTCCAGTGTTCTAAGCCATTTCTGTTTTGGGTTTTCTCTCTCTGCAGCTGAATCTACCTCTAACATACCACATTGAGGGTTTTGGTCACAGTCCTAAGTGCTTCAATGAGAGCCAAAGTGAGCATGGTTGGTGATGGCAACAACAGAAGGCCATATGAGAAGAGTGCCAAGCTAACAAGAACATGTTTGCTCTTCTGTTTATTCAGGGTATCTTTCTGAGATTTAGTGCCAAGCTCTACAACAGGAACTGATGATAGCTCGGGGCCCTGGTCCTAGACTCCGGTTAACAGGAAGGACACAGATAAACGTGGAAAAGTCAACAGTAGCAGTACAGTGGGGGAAACAAGTGACCGAAGGGCTTCTCTGTAAAGCCTTAGAATTTCTGGTGTCCATGTCAACCCACCAGTTCCGGCAGACGATCTGTGAAGCAGCAAGAGTGGGACTTCTCAGGAGCTATGCAAAGCTGTGACGAGCGGCATGTGTTGAAGCCACCAAGCCACTACAGAACAGAGCAGTGGTTCTCAACCTTCATAACGCTTCTCCCTTTAATGCAGTTCCTCATGCTGTGACCCCAACCATACAACTATCCTGCATTGCTACTTCTTAACTGTAGTTTTCTGCTAGGAATCATAATGTAAATATCTGGGATGCAGGGTATCTGAAATGTGACCCAAAGGGTTCACACAGGCCGAGAGCCACTGCCATGGAGCATGGTTGTCAGATTCCAGAATTGCTGTTACCTGCGTTTGTGTGTGTCCCCCAAAGTCTCCAACCTTGATGACACTTCTACCTCATTCCCATCCTACCCACAGGCAACCAGCCACTATGCACACACTTCTGTGCACTGCTCCCTCAGACTACAGAGATCTGAAGGCACTTGGCCAGCCACATGCAGTCTGCTTCTAACAGAAGCTGGTCCCTCGGGGAGCTATGCAGAACAAAGAGGCTGAGGCTGGGTTGATGCAAAAGGGTCGACAGTAGGATTTTGCAGATTTACAACTAGCTGGGAAAACTCACACTGGAGGTCTTGCTTTGTGTCTGGGCCAGTGGATTCCAGTGGGATAGCTTGTGGGACAGTACAAAGTGTGCAAGAAACAACAGTAGGGAACTTCTAGGTAAGAGTCAAACACTAGTTTTTATCATGAAAAATTGCCCAGGTTAAATTTGCTTTTAAAACCACTACATAAAAAAACTTTTGGAATTTATATTCATCTTTATAGAAAAAAATTTGTTTGGGCAGTGGTGACATACACCTTTAATCCCACCATCCCACCACTCAGGAGGCAAAGACAGTTCAAAGCCAGCCTGGTGTTCAGAGTAAATTCTAGGACAGCCAGGTCTACACAGAGAAACCCTGTCTCAAAAAATAATTTTTTTCTCAAATTCTAGCATAAAAATGAGCTTTAAGTTACAACATATCAGAATAAAGATGAAAAAAAAAGTATAAAGATGGAACTGGAGCGGTCTCCATGGTTAGTGGACTTTTCTGGAAAAGGTCTGGAGTTGGATTCTCATCCATCCATATGAGGCATTTCACATGGGAGGCTGGCTCACATGGGATCTAATGCCTTCTTAGCCTCCGTGGGCTACAACTGCCCTCACATACATGACCCCCACATTATCACATAATTAAAATGAAGATATGTGTAAGATTGGAGGGGGGCAGATTGGGAATAACCTGAACAAGGAAGAGAGGGAACAATGGGAGCTCAGAAGTTATAGGAGATGAATGACAAGGCTCTGGATGGTGGAGCCCAGCATTGAGATGGGTCTTTCCTGTTTTCTTCCCTACGTGGGCTGAGAAACAGAAAGGGATAGAGGAGCAGGCTTCCATGCAAGAGGGGCTGCCATAGCAGCCATTAGGGCTATGGGCTGTGTGTCTGGAGAGATGTCAGGCAAGGCCTGTTTTCATCCTCTAGTTCTCAGCTTTGGAAACACTTAACTGGGTTCACGTCTTACAACAATGCCGCTCAGCCACTACCTGTTCTCAGCCTACCTTCTGTACCACTGAGAACAGCTCTGAGCATCCATGTTCACAGTGTGTACAAGAGACATACTAGGAAATCAGATGAAAAATAAAACTTCTACAACAAAGTTTTTTTTAAGGATTTCTTTATTTTTATTTCATGTGCATGTAAATCTATGTGAAGTTGTTGGGTCCCCTGAAACTGAAATTATGGGCAGTTAATGAGCTGCCATATGGGTGCTTGGAATTGAACCTGGGTCCTCTAGAAGAGCAGCCAGTCATCACTGAGCAATCAGTTAACCACTGAGCCATCTCTCCAGCCCCTACAACAAAGTTTCACTCTACACAAAAATATTTGGAACAAAACCATTCCTACATCAAAAATGATGTAATTCCTCCTTCATAATTCAAAATACACAAATGTGTGTATATACACATGTGTATGAATGTATATATATATTATAGAAGAAATTATATATTCTATATATATTATATATTCTATATATATATAAATTTGTGTGTCTATATATATATATATATGTGTGTGTGTGTGTGTGTATACACACGTGTATATGAATGCGTGCACATACATGTAGGGGTTAACACTGGGTGTTCTTTCATCATTCCCCACCTCATATATTGAGGCAAGGCCTTCTGCTGAAACGGGGACTCACTGATTCAGCTAGTGTAACTAGCCAGCCTGCCCCAGGGATCCAGTCTCCACATCCCAACTGCCTGGCATTTATATGGTTGCTAGGGATCCTACCTCAGCTCTTCTCCCCAGTCCCAAGTTCTACTTAATGGTAGGTGAGCCTGGACATGATACTTACCTTCTCCATACCTTAGTTTCACTTGTACAGGGTATAAGGTACTTCCTATCTCACCGGGATATGGTGAGGAAGACTAAAAATGTTCCCTGTACATAGTGAGCCCTCATGATGAAGTAATTGAGACTTGTGATCCAAATCCCGTATGTAGCAAAGCACCTGGTTCTTCCCTCTTAATCCGAAAGAGTGCAACACCAACAGTCCCTGGAATTTATTTACTAGTCCCACAAAATCAGGCTGAGTTTGGAAGATGAGGTATGCCCATTATTTCACCATTGTAATAGGTGACCACTAGGAAAAATATCTCCTAGATCTACAAAGAGTTTCTCAAGAGCAAGTTTCTACGGTTGAGGTTTGTCATCTGTCTAAAAAAAGACTAGTCATGCACAGTAAAGGAAGCTGCAGTGCTCCAGCCCCCTTCTCTTCTGCGGGGCAGAGGAGGTGCCAAGGATCCCAGGTCTTCTGTTGCCTTGGTTCTCATGAGCTGCACTCATCCGAGGCTTCCCTGCTGCCCATGAAAGTACTGCCTATGGTGCGTTCCTTGCTTTTTGACACCACTCCTTCCCTCCAATGCAAGAACCTGCCCTTTTTGTATCACCCCTGACCTGTCACAGCAGGTCCCGTAACCAAAACCATGCCTGCCTTCCCTCCCTGGACCTGCGCTTAGATGCTCCCTTACCAGGCAGCTGAGCCTTGCTTCTCTTCCCTTTTTTGTCTCACAGTGGCCTAGTTTTAGTTTTCCCAATCCTGTAACACTGCTGCTACAGTGTCAGGCACACTGTAGGTGGCTACTAAACACTTTTAAGATGCCCGGATGGGAACAGTATATGCTCTAAGAATTCATCCATTAAAGAAGTAGTTTTTAAGAAGAACGAGAGAAGCACCCACACCTGTCTCCACCCTGAAGTCTCACCTTGACAATCACTCATAAGTCACTCTTCCCCAGCAATACCTCTAATGAGATAAGACATTACTTTTCACATTTAAATCCTCAGAAATAGTAAGAACATAACAGTTTTCCACATTCTAGGGTCTTAAGATTCAGAAAAAGGGAACAAAGTCAGAATTGGATATAGAATTCAGGTTTTTTTTTTTTCTTCAGAGAGACATTTTATACAACTTTCAACATTTATACTTTTAAACAAAATGAGCAAAAAATACACTGAGTGCTAAAAAAATCAAAACAGAAGTAATACAATTTTAATTTCAATATTTAAAAATACAGAAATTAGGAAGTAAGAATTCTAAATACAACTTTAAGCAAGTCACTTGTCTTCCCCTATAATAATAATATAAGCTACTTAAAGACTTACAAATTCAGAGTAAAACAGGAACAAAATAAATACTGTACACTTTCCCTGCCTGCAGGCAAAAGATGGGAAATACTGTTCTGAATAAAAACAAATGCTCTTAAAGCTTCAGCATCCCACTTCCCAGCCACACCCCATTCCATTGTCACACAGTGTGTTTCTGTAGTCAAAAGGACACATGTGCACACACACTGACTGCCTACACACAGATGAGACACTACTCTGCACACACCCCAAACAATTAGAGTAACAGTCACCAGGGACCATGGACATAAAAACCAGTAAGGAAAGTCAGGCTAGCAAAACATTACTACAAAACTAGTAAGTACCATAGCCAACAACTGTCCTGTTTTCAAATTTCACAGAGTTAAAACCCCTAAAACCAATACTTACCCCTTCCCCATTACCACCCTCCAACACCCCAAAAGAAAACTTGCTGAAACACTGGCAAAGTTAGATGTTTCACAATAAATGTGAAAGTCCATACTATATAATCTCTTAAAATGAACCTTTTCATCCTTTCCACAGCATGAAACTGTTATGGCTTAATTATATTAAAAGTAGAAAAGTCTTTCCCAAAGGAAATACAGTCTGCAAAGACACACATGCATTTCCTGTCAGTGCTATTTCATACTTCACAACTGCATGACTCGCCTGTGCAGTCAAGAGCTGTTTTTGGAAAAACTGAGGTTACAGCATTTGATTCAGTCTAACCATAAACTGTAAGGCCCTTAGTTTGGTTTAGGTTTCTTTTGCACGATAAAATAACCTTGGGGTTCACTTAGCAAGTTACACCTCAGGTCCCTGACTATATTGTGTAAGTTATATGCATGCTTTGTGAAAATAAAATGTTAATTACGAATCTTAGGAGGAAAAAATATTCTAGGCAAGGAATCAACTCTACAGTTAATGCTGGCATTTCTTACCAAACAAAATCCACCAAAGAAATGTAAGCATATGTCTTGATTATTTTATTCCTGCAAAATAGTATATATTCTAGCACTTATGATAATTGTTTTGGTAAAAAAATAGGAGGGAAAATAGCTGATTATTTTGAAAAGAACAAAAAAACCCATTGAAGACAAACTTTTTATGATTAAGTTGCATTTATGACTGCTTTCTGTAATGAAGAAAAGTGAATCTAGAGTATCACAGGTCTTGCATAGGTAAACTACTTGGAGGTCAAGGGCTACGTGGTAGCCAGGGTTTCATTAATGAATAGTGCAGAACAGGTAAATTTGTTGGAAGAATCATTGGATACATCCTTTAAAAGATTTTAAACAAAAAGTGTAATGTCACAGTTAAGACAAAGCCTTAAGAAACTAAAAGTGTACCAAGGGTGACGCGGGAACCTAAGGGCGTCTCCAGTGAGTGTTATTTACTTCTTCCCAGTAAAAAACGGGGAGACTTACTACAGAAGACTAAAACTATGGTAGTGATGACATGCCAGCTGCTTTGGAAATAGACATTCACTTATTAAAAATCTTTTAAAAATGTTTATACTGAGGTTTAATTATGCTCAACAGCAGTTTAGGGAGTATCCTAATTCTTGTTTCTGTCTAGCTTCAAGAACATACACAGACAGCATCCACAAAGCAAGCAGAGATTGCAGTGTCAGAGAACAGGGTCTGTGTAAGGAAACAAAGTATCAGAAATCCCAAAGCCACTGTGTGTCCCTAGGCAAATCTCTCTATCTCAGTTACATTGATCACTGTTATTGACTAGCTTTCCCTAGATAAAAGATATGATGCTTAATTTTTTGAGATTGTATTAGATAGAAGTCTAGGGTACCATTAACAGTCTGAAAGCCTTAGGTCCTCTTTGCTCTCTTTGTGGTACTAGGAATAAAACCCAGGGCCTTACACATATCAAAGGCAAGACCTTCTCTCTTATACAGAGAGAAATTAGTTTAATATATAATGGGAAAGATGAATTTTTGAGAGAAATTTTAGATTTGCATTATGAAGTTTCTTATTTCTCTATGTGAAAACTAGAAATTCACATTTGCTATTTTCTTTCTAGCAGCAATACCCTAGGCCATGCGATGGTTTCCCGGCTCTCAGGGACTGCCTCACCACTGCAGAGCATCCTCTGAAGCAAGCCAACACTGGTTTTGTTGAGCACATTAGGCTGTGTTACCTTCCTATACTAACCCCATGACTTTTCTCTCCCTAGCTATTAGTACCTAGCCCTGGGCTGTCTTTGCCAAGTTCTTTTTCCTAGTCATCTTATTTCCCCCCTAGTTCCATGGGTAGCTGCTAAGTCATTTTAAATTCATCACCCATTTAACTTTTATACCTGAAGAGTATGCCAAATCTGGAGAACAGTACTAATTTGTCTTTGAGAGAAAACCTACAGCTAGCTTTTCTGCTGTGTAAATAATCATCACTAACTAGATAAAAGCTCTTACTCTTCTGCTCACAAACCAGCTCATTTCTTTTTCTTTCACTTCAAGAATAAAATCTGATTCTAATTCAGCACCTTGTTAGGAATTTTTCAGGTTTTACATAGCATGCTCTGGGCATACAAGAGATAAATAGAAGCAGTTTTCATTTATAGATTTCTCTAAAGGTGTACTCTTATCAGTTGTAACTTAATAATTAACTGACATAATAGCTGAAGAATGCTGGTCTTCACTGAGTATCATTAAGTACTTTTTATCAAAACTTAAAAATAAGAAAACAAGGGCTTAGAAATAAAACTCAGAATAGTTTACTGACTCGGGGTTGCTCAGCTGACACAAATGGCACAACATGGACCAAAATGCAGGTCCTCTGCTTTCTTCCAAGCCTCATCACACCACCACACCCTTGTATTACCAACAAAATTACTAACTTGTGGGATTTTTCTTAAATGTTAAAGAAGAGGGGTCTTTTTTTTTTTTCTTTAACACTTCCACTTCTACAGTGGTACGTCTCAGTTGATTCTGTTCTCTTTACAAATGGTTCACCTTCTGCTCAAGTGTGCTTGAAGTGAAAACAATACTGCTAACACCCTGGAGAAGACACACCTTCACAGACAGACAAAACTAAAACTGAGACTCCTCTGCAATACTAACTAGTTCTGGCCACACTGTAGATGTCTGATAAATACCTGCTGTTCTCATAGGAATAAATACAGTAAAATACATTGAACAGGAATTAATTAGGATTAGTAAAACACAGAATAATATTCAACTAGTATCTAAGTATTAAACTAAGTATTTAACTAGTGATATAGGTGGACTTGTTTGTGGTTTCAGTAGATGGTTCAATTTTGTGTGCTTCAAAGATACACTGTATTTGTGAATTTCAATGTATTCCAAAGATCATGAACTACTAAGCTGTCAGTTTTGTATTGTTAACTATTCACCAATATTGGAGAGCATGATATTATATAATGTTGTGAATTACAGTACAGTAGATTCCAGGTTAAGGATCACTTAGTTGAATTACAACAGGATAACTACTGCTATTAAAGCTGCATGTTAAATCATTAGTTCTCAATTTTACACATTTCATTTGCTTATAACTAAGTGCTATCACTGCTGCCTTCTTACTTTAGCTGTGGTATACTGCTTATAAGTGAGACTACCTAGAACTGTTGAGCCCAGATCCTGACAGTAGTCACACCTCTAAGTCCAGTCATTTCTCTGAGATAAAAGGACATATCACAGTTGGGGAACTATGTAAGAGGTCTGACTAGAAAAGTCACTGGCTGTCTGGCTGAATTTTTATCAACTCAGAAAAGATACATGGATTCCTTGTTAGTGGCTATATTAACTTGCTGAAAGTTTTGTAATTTAGTCAGTTGTGGGTTAAAATGATCGAAAATGAATCCATAGTATTGTTACTTAAAAATTCCAAATATTGGCAACTCAAAATTAGTGTTTTATCAGCCTAAAGACACAGGGTGGATACTGGCCACAATTTTAATTCATAAAAATAAATTGTTTTAATTTTTATGACCAAAAGTAAGTAGCTAAAATACTTAAAAGTTGTTTTAAAGAAATCCAAATCATTATAACTGAAGAAAGAAATCATCTGCTTATTTCTTAACCCAAAATAAAAATGTGTGTTCTAACAAAACAGAAAACAAAGACATCACAGTGATAATATTGTGGGAAGGGGAGGGGCCAGTCAATCCGGAATTTTGCATCTTGAGACACAAACAGTGCCTGGACTGAGTTCCTCTCCTACTGGACACGGCACAGGGCAGGCACGGGCTAGAGAGGCCTTTACAGATACTAAGAGTTCCATAAAACTCCTTCCTGACACCCAAAATGAAGTGAAACTTTGATCCAGACAATCTGGACCAAAAAGGTGAACTCGTAACTTCCTTATCCCTTGAAATATTGTAAAAGACACAGAATAAGAAATATCCCTCTTTGGAAATACATGTTTTGAATGAAACTATGAAAGGTACATAATTCTTTTCTTACAACTTAATGCTTAGTGCAGAAGGAAAAGTCCAGCTACCTTACTGACTGAGAAAGAAAAAAATCCATTACGCAGCAATATTTCTCCAGAAAAATAAATTTCATGTTATTTACCTATACTGTCTTTGTAGGAATTTATGAAATATGACACCACCAGGCCCCCCAAGTATCAATTTATTTTAATGCCATGAGGGGGAAATAGGGAGACTAAAAGAGACTAAAAACTAATACAAGCAACTGAAAATTTGGATTTAGTAAAAGTTGTACATAAAAGCTATAAATGATTATCTTAGCTAAAGCTCAACCAGACACTCAACCTCCATATGCTAGTAGCCAAGACAAATGGAAAGAACTGCAAAAAGCACCCATTTACTCCAAATATCTACTGAGATAATTCTTCAAAAATTAAGCACACACACACATACACCCACACACACAGATCTATTCCAACATGCTTGTTTCTATACAACTTAATATAGTATAGTCCTATTGTATTACGGCTTTTATGCAGATTTGAACATCCTAAATCAAACTGTATTTCTAAAAAAGTTATGTCTAGGTAATAAAAGCATGGTAAGATATAACCTGTGGTAGATGTTGGCTCTTCCAACACCAGCAGTATGAAGAAGGCCCTCTGTAATTATAAAGGTTTTTGAAAAAACTACAAACATGACATTTTAACCAAACCTACACTTTCCCCATTAGTAGGAAAAGGATATTAAAGCTGTTCTCTTTGGGACCTAGATATCATCAGGGGAAATGAAAACAAAATAAGCCTGTTTCTTTACATGTACAAGAAAACCACAATGTCAAAAGAAATGAGAAACGAGGACTCTTTTATGTGGTTCTTAAACATTGGCTATAAAGGTGTTTCCCTGCAAAGAGAAGAGTCTTGGGTCATCTCAATATGTTGGGGGGTGTGGGGGGGGTTGCAGTGGAAAGGTGGGGTGTAAGGGAATCAACCTGGATAACAGTATGCACCTTGGATGTTAGCAAAAGCGAAGCTAATAGCTTATAAAAAACACATGAAATATATAAAATAAAATGATTTCATATACATCTTAATTTAAAATAATTAATGCATCAAATCCCTGTTTAAGACTTTAACCTGAATATCAAATTTAAGAGTCCAGACTAGCTACTGTTACTGTGGCTCTTCCCCACATGTAACACATACACTATCAAAAATAATTTAAAAACCTTCACATTCTTAAATCTAAATTAGTGAGATATTTCTCCAGAAATCTTCCAAATAAATAGCTTTAAAAAAGAAAGAATTTAAAAGCTGTTAACTTTAAAAAAAATCTGTTAAATAAATTATTGATAATTCTTTATCCTACTACTGAAAATAAATCAAGACACTACCAACAACAAAATTAAATTCAAGCCCTGACAAGAGACCCCTCCCTTTCCAGTTCAAGGTCTCTTTTTAAGGTTCTACCCTCCTTCTTCCTCTCCCCCACCAGGTCCAAAGGGTTATTGCTGAGTGGGCGTGGCACAGTGAAAATGCAGCATCAGGTTCGTTCTGTTCTTCGGGCAGTATTCTTACTGTACACACAAACTGCTCCAGGCAGGGGACAGTGGAAACTCCAAGTTTCCACACCCCAAGACTGGCCTCCAAAGGAAAGAGTGACTGAAATAGCAGCTCTGTCACACAAAGAAACGTGCATGGCCATTTCTGTTCAACTTAAGGATCTTCCCAAGTCGTTGTTTGGCTGTTGCCATTCCTTTTTTTGGACGTTTACCTATAAAACACCAACAACACTGTTAATACAAAAAGTGTATTTGTCATATAATACCTGGAAGACGTAAGACTTAAGGGAGAGATGTGTTGGGTCCCATCTCTGGACTTCATGCCTTAAACCCCTCCCACTGTATTACACAAAGAGAAAGGGCAGCGTCCCTCCAAACTGTGCTTCAGCAATAGAGTAAGCTACAACTTGATGTATTCCTCATGAACCATGGCCCTTCTGTGCCTCAGGTCATTGTTGTTTCTTCTGTCCCTTCCCTTAACTCAGCCTAGCAAACTCATCCTTTTGTTGCCCCCTCATTCAAGAGATTTACTGGGAGGGAAGAATCCAGGAGGGTGGCAGAGGACACAAACTCATCTTTTTAAGGGTCTACTTCCTCCTGAGCCTCAGAAAGCCACTCCTGTCCCTCAGGATCGGCTTAAGTGTCCTCTCATTGCCACTACAGTAGCTCATACCCACTGCTCTCATGCTGCTGTCCATAATGCGAGAGACCATGACTACAGAGCAGCAGCTCTCAACCCTTGGGGGAAGGTCAAACAACCCTTTCTCAGGATTGGTCTAAAACCACCAGAAAACAGATATCTGCATTACAATTCATAACAGCAGCAAAATAACAGTTATGAAGTAGTAAGGAAAGTAATTTTATGGTTGGGTAATCACCACAACATGAGGAACTGTATTAGAGGGTTGAAGCATTAAGAAGGCCGAGAACCACTGGCATACAGACTGTCACTACCTGCTACCACTGCACGGTCACAAACATACCTACCCCGCTAATATATACAAGTTACCTTTTGTTGCCTGGTTGCTGACAGGTGGCGGGTTTGATGCAGGTCTCTTGGTGGGGTGAAGGGGCACTGAAAAAGATGTGTCACCAATAGGCCTCTCTGGGCTTAGACTGCCGTTACTTATCTGGCATGGCCCTGAAACCAAGCTGGGACTCAGCATGTACTTTCCATTTTGAATACTTGAGTTACTGCTGTCCACACAATGCCTGCTTTGTGCCTTCTGACTGATTTCTGAAGAACTTTCCTTTTTGATGGATTTCTGGCTTCTACTTAAACCCTAAAGAAGGAAAGAAAGAAATGTAGCTGTGTTTTCCAGGTTTCAGACAAATGAGGTATTTAGGCTCTCTGCATTAGAGAAATCAACAAAGATGAGGAAACACATTACTCAATTTTGGTTTACTTTTTTCCCCTTCTGTATTATGTTTCATATACATACATACAGAGTGTGTGTGCATGCCCATACACAGGATGCATGTGTGGGAGGCAGAAGACAACTCGTGGGAGTTGTTTCTCTCTTTCTATCATGTGGGTACCGGACGTCAAACTCAGGCCATTAATTAGTCTTAGTGGCAAGTGCTCTTCATCAGTGCTCAAAGTACCTATCCCTCATGATCATCAGTTTAGTCCATAGCCAGTCTTAAAGGTTTGCAAAATTAGTTCTTATTACTTAAGTTTTGAAGTTCACTAAATCAATATCAATCCCAGAACTGGAAGGAAAACTGAAATAGAAGCAAGGGACCCGTAGTTTTCTTAGCTCATCAAGGTTCTCACTGTAATATGCTTACTTTTGGAGCTCTCTTTCTACCATGTGGGTCCCAGGAAGACCCAAGCCATTAGGCCCGGTAGCCAGCACCTTCACCAGCTAAGCCATCTTGCTGGCCCCATATTACTACCTCTTTTCAAAGGTAGCTAGTATAAGGTTCATCTCTACTATATTAGTTTGCTATAAAAATCCCAAGATCCAGGCCTGGTTTTTCTTTTAACTAGGAGTCCCTCTTTGAGTCTCTCATGATAATTAAGTCAATTTGTAAGGGAAAAAAATGCTACTGATAGGGCTTTAAATTAACTGAGAGGTCATGACCAACATCAAAAGAGAAAGGAACTAAATAGACACATGAAGTTTTAAGATGAAAGCAAAAATAATACTGAACATTCTAAATCTCTTCCTCATATTTCCACTTTGGAATATACCTGAGCATTAAATCGGGACGTTCTATCAAACTGTTTAGCCCAGGATGATGTCCTCAAATCTGGATCTGCAGCTCTGTCGTGGTATCCTAGAAAGAAGTTTTGATTAAGTTATCTTTGCACAAACTTATTTTAAAACTAGCCCAGGGCTTACAACTGAAAGCAAATATATGTTGACATTTCATTACACATTAAGTATTTCCATACCTTTTCTTTCACACTTCTTAAAACAAACAAATCCCACAGTCAGCAGCTCACAACCAAACTTGCTGTTTCTTTTAATTTTCTTGAAACTGTCTTTGTATGGCAGAGTTTGTGCTAGATGCTAGCAGACCTATAGTCAAGTACTACGGCCATGTGTTGTCAATGCAAACCAAATGCCATGCACACATCTCTAAAATGACGTATTTTCTATTAGGACAGAGGTATTTATTTCCCTGTATCAAGGGACCAAACAGATTATAGGGAGGCAAAATGGGGTAGAGAAAGACAGGTAAACCCAGATTTAAATTTGAGTTTTTTTCCAAATATCAATGCAACTTTAGACAAGCTATTAAACCTTTCCAAGGTTCAATTTGCTCTTACACAATATGCAAAGATTTCAGATCAAGTGATCCTGGGTTCAAATTCCAACAGATTTGAATAATACCTATGTAAAGTACGTGCAAGTTAAATTAACCTCATCAAATCATACTTCCTTTTCATGTAAAATGGAGGTCAAGGTCCTGGCACACAGATGACCCTATTTATGTGGGGCCGAACACGATTGCTACAAGTCCTTTTCTCAATCCTAAGATTTTTGGGAAATATTTGCTTTTCCCTTCTGAAAGCACAGGGAAGAAACACTAAGTGGCATTCCTGGCACACTTCGTCTGCTCAAAGAGTTTGAGAAAACATAGCCTCAGTCAGAAAGAACTTATTCAAAACTTTTCCTCCTTTCCTAAAGGAAAATGGATCAATTCTGCAGACCACTTAGAACACCAAACATCCCTTCCACTTTGGGAGCTCTTACAGTTGGTGACAGGAAAACAAGACTATCTTTGCAAGAGAAATGATAGAAGTAGGCCTGTGGACACAATTCTCAGCCCCATGTCATTGACATTTGAGTTTTAACATTTGAATTACATTTTTAATTAACTGTCCTATGGAGGTCAGGGGACAACTTGTAGGAGTTGGTTCTTCCCACCATGTGGGTCCTGGGGATCAAACTCAGATCACCAGGGGGTGGGCAGAGAGCCCCCTGAGCTGCCCTGCTGACCCATATTTTGAGTGTTTATGTTTGCATCTTACGTGACTATATAAAAAGGGATTTCTTAATGGTAAACAGTCCTTATTCATATAATCAACTAAGATCACAATACTATTCAATTGGGAGTCATAAATTACTTTCCAGAGATCGATAATTTGTGTTTCTTACCAAATTCCACTTGTTTGTCACAACGATACAACTGCCTAAGCTCAGGGTTACTGCTGTGGCAGCTGCTGGGATCCTGGAGAGAGTTCTTCTCACCACTGCAGTCTGTGCTTTGTGTCTGCCTTTGTAAACACGTGGAATAGTGCAACCCTGCCATAGACAGCATGCCCTGAATAGCTTCTTCCTCTGTGCTCGTCGAGGTAGGACATTCCCTAGGGAGCAGGTGATCCAAAAACAGTGTTGATAAAATATTCAGTAAATTTAAAAGCTAAACAGTATTTTCAGAGCATTTACATCACAATGTAAAGCAACGACCATCCACAAGTCTACCTTTTAACTGGAATTTCATTTCTAGATGGCTTCTGGCCCTTTTGAAGGAGGTTCCTCACTACATCAGATTCCTCCTCAAAGTTTGATGTTACTTCATGTTTCTTTTCATCACCTGAACTTTCAGAATCTTCAGTGGCAAAATTAATTTTCTGAAATAATAAATCATTAAATGGAAACAAAGCTAAAGACAAATGGACCCACGCTGTACAGACTAATTGAAGTTTATCTGTTAAGAAGTTAAAATCTTAATTATCGTAAAAATTGGTTCTTTGTAATCAGAATCAACTTCCTAGAACTGTAATAACCTACTACCTGAATACAGAACACGGTTACATGCTTTTAGGTCAAATACAATATAAACTGTCAGACCATAGACCACGTAAGAACTTACTGCAAGCAGCAGTGTCTCTGCTTCCACCCTTACCAGAACCTAATAAAAACTGCTTATGAATGTGACCAGTCACAGGGTGCTGTGTGTTCACAGTAATACTACAGGAAGACCCTGTGCTGCACACCCAGAGACAAGCTTTGGGGAAAGCTGTCATCAACCTTCCTCTCCCAGGTGAAGCTACATGGGTGGGTGTTCAGCATCCCATCAAATGACACATAAACCTTGGGATTCTAAGCATACCAGTGCAGTGCAATCAGGTCCAGAGTCTTCTGAATCAGAAACATCAGAATATTCTGATGTTCTATTCCTGAGTTCTGATTTCACACTTGTAAAAATTCCTGTAGAAGAATTCGTAAAGAAGAGACAGGACAAAAAACAGTCATTCAAACTTTGGGGCAAGATGGAAAGATGATCTTTAAAGTCTACCCAGTTTCAAGATGTCTTTCCATCTCCCCACAATGTCTCTCCTTTCTCACTCCTTTTATTTTCCCACCTTTTTCTCTCTAATTGACCAAGAAGCACTGACTAAAGTAAGTCCTTAAAATACCTGTGGTATTTCTTTCTTTCCAGGGGGAAAAAATCCTTTAAAACTAAAATGAACTACAAACTGCTTCTGGCTTTCTCTTGTTATCTCACTAGAGAACAAAAAGCAACTCTCAAAGATCACTGCACTCACTGCCCTGGGTTCAAACAGTTTATGATCTAGACTCTCAGCACCACTGCATAGCAACTGTCCCATTGGTTCTCAGTGATGCCCTGTCTTGCCCTGACATGTGAACAAAGTTACCAACTGGAAGACCAGACTTTCTGAGAATTAGTGGAAACTGAGCTATTCAAAATTAATCCAATAATATTCATTATGCTGAACACTTAGTCATCAAAACCTAATGATTTTTAATTACTTTTTAAATGGAAAGGTATAGGCTGCTCTTGAAAACTGTTCAGGAATTAAGATTTATTCAAAGAAGAAATCTTCAAGGAGGTGATATTACTACAGTATCTGATACTCCTATTACTTTACTTGATGATAATCAATTGGCACACCAATAGAAGTTCCCTGTCAACAGTCAATCAAACATTATGAGAACCAAAGACAAGTTAGCAAAAGCCATATGTGAAATGAAGTTAACCTTGAAACTCCTTCTGGGGAGTAGGCCATAAAGCACATGAGCTTTGAAGAGACATTAAAAACAGTGGCTCTGCCTGTGTCTTGCTGACCATTACATGCCCTTTCCCTAGAGATCAGTCCCCAGCTACCACACCTTATTTTACATGCAGCATTCACATACAGCACTTGCCTGACCGATCAACAACTCAAAAACATTTTGGCTTTCCCAGCAATATTATAAACACAAACATTTTCATCCTACAACAGCTCAAGCACCAGCAAGTTACCCATTGCCATATTAATCAAAGAACGAAACGTACTGTTAAGTGGTTTTGGAAATCCTTCACTTTCTGTCCCCTCTCTTCCTGAGCTCTCTTCTGTCTTTATGTCTGCCTTCTTTATTGGTTTCTTGTCCTCTTCATTTTCACTATCTGCTGTATAAAGACTCCGATCTGCAAACAGCTGCCTCTCATCCCTGCCACGGAGGGAAAATCATGTCAGAAGCAGTGCAAGGCTCTGTGTCCCCTCCCCTCCATTCAGACACACTAGAGAAATGAGACCCTTTCCCTAATTGCCCATGCAATAATGTAGATGACAGATTAAATGAACAAAAGGGATCCACTAAAATTAATCTGACAGTTTGATCTACTTTACGTACTTAATTATTCTTCCATTTGTCAGCAGTAATCGTAGATCATTATCTTTTGCTCTCCAATCAGGTACCGTGGAAGATGGCTGGAGATGTTTGTTGAATTTTCCATTCAGTTTAGAGCTCAGTGTGTCCTTAAAAGTACAAAGCATAACTGACCTTCAGACAGGCCTGCTCAACTGTAAAGACTGCATGCTGCCCCTTCTCCCATGGTCCTGCCTTGTAGAGGGATGGCAGCCATCTAGGCTTGGAGATACCTCAGTGTCCCACAATCCAGAGCTACTCATTCCAACAGATTCAGAATTGCTCATCTTTCAGCAGGGCCATTTGCAAAAAAATCATTTTCTACTATAAAATGCAAAATCTACATAGAGCAAACCCAAACACAGGCCTTTTTTGCAGATGCTGAAGGGCTGGCATCAGATGGCCTTAGGAAGTCTCCGGTTCGTTGGCTGTTTTTTCCTGATGAAGCTGTGGTGCTCCCCACTCACCCCAACCCTGTCCTCATCCGCCCCACTCACCTAACCTTGTCCTCATCCTCCCCACTCACCCCAACCCTGTCCTCATCCTCCCCACTCACCCCAACCCTGTCCTCATTCCTCCCCACTCACCCCAACCTTGACCTCATTCCTTCCCACCCAGATTCTGCTTCTGGGGCTAAAGAGACAGCTCACAGGTTAAGAGCACTTCCAGAGGTCCCGAGTTCAATTCCCAGCAACCACATGGTGACTCACAACCATCTATAAGGAGATCTGGTGCCCTCTTCTGGCATGCAGGCAAACATGCAGGCAGAGCAATACACATAATCAATAAATATGTCTTTAAAACAAAAAAGAAAAAAACCAAACCACTATCCGCTTCCACACTGCTTTCTCTAAGCTCAAGAACCGCCACTTTTTATAAAGAGATAATAGGAACTTTATTTTTTTAACATATAAAAGATCCTCTTTGAGATCTTCTTCCCCTTAATAAATAGAACTTTTCATGAGTTTCCCAAAATAACTATGGGTTAAGTAGATTCAGAACCATTTCATCTTAAAACGGCATAATGATATCAAATATAAAAACACATAAGGATGTAATGACTATGTAATTTCTTTTAGTATTTTAAGTAAGCAATACCTCCACCTTACTTTCAATTACCTGTCAATCCTCTAACCCACACCCTCCCCTGCCTCTGCCTAGTACACCAAGACTTCTCCAAGTATCCTCCAACAGATTTATTCTAACACTTTCCCATTCTCATAATTGGACTGGTTCTCTTGGCTCAAGGACAGTCTTTATCTGTCCAATTTATTGTATTGACTAATTCAAAGCTGTTTTCATTTGACTTTTTTTTGTTAAGTATTGAAGAAGTTCAAACATTATGAGCACTTCAGCAAAGCAGCCAGCCTCTACTTCCTTGCTGCCCTACTATTCTGGGCCCCCCTCAAAACACTCAGCATCGGAAACATATATTTTGTTGCTGCAAAAGGATTTCACTGAGAAAGGGTTTCACTGTACAGCCCAGGCTGGCCTTAACTTGGAGTAATCCCCCTTGCCTCAGACTCCCAAGTGCTAGGATTACAGAAATGTACCATCATGCCCAGCTTAAAATTAATATATATAGTTTGTTTGTTTTGTTTTTCTCAGTAGCTATGGAGCCAGTCCTGCAACTCGTTCTGTAGACCAGGCTGGCTTCAAACTTATGGAGACCCACCTGCCTCCCAAGTGTTGGGATTAAAGGCATGTGCTGCCACCACCACACTCTAAAATTATTTTAATCTATGTCCCTATCTTCCAACTTAAATTCTGATAAAATCTATATGAGGGTAGGAACTCAAATTTGCTTGCTCTGGCATCTTCTTCAGAGCCCAAAAGAATGTGTAATATTTCGATAAACATTTATTTATTTTATTGAGTAATAAACATGTCAACAAATGAATGAAATCTAGGTACCTTAAAATCACACTGTTGGCTAGAAAAACTAGATTCCCTGGTTTCCCACAGACAGAAATCTTAATTAGCCTCTCTCTAAATCGAGAGTAGAAACTAGCCAGACTACTACATGTACTTGCCTCCTCCCATGGACACATCTCTAATCTTTTGAGGACTTCCCTTGTATGGAGCTCAAGGATGTCTAGGTTAGAAGGAGTTCGGACATGATGATCTCGAAGTTTCCTCATCTTTCGCCGGGAATGATATGGTGAAGATGCTTCATTTGAAGGCCGTGAAACTGGACACACAGTAGGAATTCCCTGAGATTTAACTGGTTTACCATTTTCTTCCTATAAGAAGCAAATTCAGAGCATGTTTTATGGCAAGGCTCCTTCCTATACATATACCTGACTAAACAACTAACCATAAAAATACGTAAAAACAAACACATCCTATTTAATCATCTAAGACACAGTTAAATCAAAGTCTCAACTTTATTCCCTTTCCTCCACATACTTCCTGAACAATGTGTTTCAGTGTTTTATTTTGGGAGAATTTTTGGATGGGGGGGGTTCCCCTGGACTCAGCTTCCTAAGGGCAAGGATTACAAGCATGGAACCAGCACACCAAACTTAAATCTCAAATTTGTAATATAAAATTGGAGTTGCCATTTTCAGAAACGATACTCGTGTTTACTGAACTAGAAATTCTGAGTTTATTCTGTTCTGGTTTTACTGTGCATGAGACACACACGCACATATATGTTACAGATAGTATGTTATATACATAAGACTTTTGATAGGAAACTCATTAAATGACGTTACTATCACTCTTTAGTAAATTTTTGCTACATCTGAAAATACATGAAATATTCTATTCCATGGATAGTAAACCTAGCATAGCAATCTTTCTTAGAGGGTTGGAGATTTAGCTCAGTGGTAGAAAGCACTTGCCTCACAAGCATCAGGCCCTGGGTGCCATCCTCAGCACCAAGAACAAAAAGACATGATTAGTATTTGTTAGATGTATACTACTTTCCATTCTTGACATTGTGATTGTGAGCCTAGCTTGTTACTGCTGAACCATGTCTCCAGCTTCTCTTCCCATTCTACAAAATACTATGAGTTATGCAAATTACCTAGTGTTATTTCCCAAGTGGCTTTCATTCCTCCAAGTGAATTTCCTCTTATTTCAAACTACTCGCTAACCAAGTTACTCCAGAAGAACAACTTTACTGAAAACCCCCTTTTCTCAATACCAACACCAGCTCTTTAGTAAATGAAAACACTTTACATATATGGGCTTTTATCAAAGGCACTGACTTCTCAAGTTGTTCCAGTATTTTTGGCCAAGGAATTCCCTAATATTCTTTCCAACCCAGCTTCACTCACCTCACTGTTTTTTTCCCTTCCTCTAATTACTTCACAAACATTCATCTCTAGGTAATTGAAACAGATCTGAACACCATTATTGTGCTTTTTGCTTAAACTTTTGGAGGAACCTAAAGGATTTACAGTAACTGGAACTGCCTCTTTGTTATTTTATTACAACACAATACTCTATATTTCTCTGTCAGACGTTACAAGCCTCAAATCTGTCAAGCTAAATCAGTTCATTCCACTCCTTCTCAAGCGTGAGTGCTCTCCATATTCACAGCATGGTGCAGACAGCAAGCAGACACACAACATTATTGCATCTATTCTTACCTCTATTGCTCGAATTACTTTAGAAAGTTCCTTAACAAGATGTCCAGGTCTAACGTTGTCTGGAATTTCAAAGGCATGTTCAGATACAAGCTGTGTTTGGAGTAATAAAGATAAGAAAACAACCAAAGTCAATAAAATATTTAAAGCCCAGCTTACTTTATAATGTTTTCTATATTTAAGGGCATTGCAGATAATGTTAAGCCTTCTCAAAATTTATATACTTGCTGGATTATCACCTAAGGAGATCCACATTATCAAATAAAATCCTCTTATTTGAAACTTTAAACTGCCTTTGTCTCATAGTGGATCTTATTTATAATGAACTCTATACCTCAAGTCCCACTCTGATGCCAAGTACAACTACTAATAAAGAAATGAAGCCTAACTATTAGTTCAAAATACATAAGGATTTTTATAGGGATTTGAGCTAAAAGTTTGATACTGTTAAGTACACTTGGTAAGCATGAACTCATTTAATGCCCTCAATATCAGGGTGCATAGTTACTTCAGGTTGGATATCATGTACCTGAGATTCTCGTGACTAGACATGTTTTAGAGTGGGGGCACTTCAGATTGGGGGTGCTCAATCTTTTACAGGTTATGCTAATGCCTGCCAAACGATAACTGAGGGAACTGGGACACTGACATTGGGTAATATACCCATAATGACACAGCTGACTACCAGCAGAGATGAGATTTGATTCTAAATATCTGACTCCAGAATCCAAAGTTTTAACTAGTATACGAAACTGTCTCCTACCTTTGAACAAATTTACTAAAGTATAGAAATGTTTGGAAATATACATTATTTCCAATGTCTAATAATAGTTGTGATAAAAATTCGCTATGCACAGAAATCATGTAGAGTATTTTTAGGATCAATTCTACTCCAGGGCTATTAAAACCATAATCCTGATGCAGAGGCTTTATTTTTTTTTTTTAGAAGTTCTCAAGGCAACACTAACACACAATTTGAGAAGCACCTGTTCAAAGCCTCTGCCAGGAGACAAAGGCACACAATTTCCACATCTTACGTTTCATCACATTACATAGATGTTAACTTGCTTATGCTTTTCCTCCTCATACACATGATAAAATCTGACAGTGGAAGACATGTTTTTACTTTCCTGGATGTTTCTATAGCACCTTGCCCTAATGGATTTGTAGCACTGATCCTAAAGTAAAATGGAGAATGAAAATATCCGGATTATAGGCTAGTACCTATTATTTCCCATTATCTCCGTTTTAACATTGATTATTATTATTATGAGTGTGTGTGCACACAAGGCCTGTGAGTAGAGGTCAAAGAACAATTTGGTGGCGTTTCCTTCGACCTCTGCATTGGTTCCCATGATTGAACTGTTCTCAGGCTTATACAGCAGGTGTTTCATAGACACTGTGTCTCTCACTGGCTCTCCCTGTTTCCCTGAATAGCAAGATTTTTATTTTAAATGGATTATCAATGAAACCTGGAAATCATCAGCACATATATTAATCATTGTTACATAATATAAATAATATATTATTTAATATTAGTGTGAAGCTCCATGGGCTTGACGTAAGAGTTCAAAAGCTTAGTGAAAGAAACGTGCATACATTATACATGTGTTTAAGAATGTGCTACAGAAGGATAAAGGGAAGTAAGCGTAAACAGTAACTCCACATGCAGACTTCGATGGACTCTCAGGAAAAGGCTGGGATAACTGCAAACAACTGAACCACAAATTCCCAGTCTTGCCCTTCCTCTCCCTCATTTTTATGTACATCTGCCACAGTGGTAAAGAGCAGGGGCTTGCAATCTTAAGAGTCCAGTTTTATGTCCTAGCCATGCCAGTTCTCTTGGGAGAGTTACTTAAATGGGGACACCAGCAGCACCCAGGCCCACAGCGCCACTCTGAAGACTAAATGACATCACACATGACAAAGCACAAGCATGACATACTAAGAGCTCAACATAACTGTTGCTACTCTATGTCAGCATGTCTGTTTCTTAGTATCTTAAGCACACTTGCATTTTGTTTTTTTCAGGAATAAAGAAAAGCCAAAGGGCTTTATTCTCCAACTAGAATCAGTACATCTATATATAATATTTCATAGAGTATAAATCATATTAAATACAATTTCTGTTCCTTTTACAACTGGCACATGAATGCTGCCCATACAACAAAAGTACTGTTTTCATGATCTTGCCACAAAAACAAAACAAAAAAACCCACAGTGAAAACAACTTACTTCTTTTTAAGCCGGGCGTTGGTGGCACATGCCTTTAATCCCAGCACTCGGGAGGCAGAGGCAGGCGGATCTCTGTAAGTTCGAGGCCAGTCTGGTCTCCAGAGCGAGTGCCAGGATAGGCTCCAAAGCTACACAGAGAAACCCTGTCTCGAAAAACAAAACAAACAAAAAACAAAACAAAACAAAAAAACCAACAACTTACTTCTTTTTTCATCCACACTTTTAAAGCGGTGTGCAGTGCTTTCACTCCCTGTACTAAGTAAGTCTGAGGCTGAAATCCATCTTCCTTCAGTTCTGTTGGAATGAATGCGGGAGGGAACAAAGTTAGCTCTCTTCTGGCATAATGGTGTACATGAAGATACAGCCCTCATATACATAAAACGAATAAATACATCTCAAATATCCTTAAAGTATCAAATATCAAACTTAACACCCAAAACAGAACAGAAGATAATCAATTCAAAAGGCAAAAAAGAAACAGAAATACATTAAATGTGATGATACTAAATACTTATATTAGGAATATAAAAATGCAGAAAAGTTTAAAATAAAACAGTGGGGAAAAGATGTCAAGTTTTGAAAGTAAAGTTGAGATTGCTATAGTAATATATTATCATCAATAAAGCATCATTTCAACACATTCAAAAATTCCATTCACTAGAAAGACATTTAAAATTTGAACACGTAACAAGCCTGAAATATAACGTAACAAGCCTGAAATATAAAAAACAAGACAAAACAACAAAATACAAAGAGCATTTTTCACAATCACAGTGGGATATTTCTGGCAAACATCAGTAAATACATGAGCAGACTGAAAAAAACAGGTAGCTAATTAAACTCAAGCAATGTTAGAATTGGCTGACAGTCATAAATAGAGTAATTGCAAAATGCAGGTTTTATGTGATGTGATTAAAATACTAGTTATTCCTAAGACTAAATTGGTGCCACAATTTAATGAATAACAAGATTCATCTTTCAGACACACTTCTTTTTTGTTCTCAAAGGTTAGTGAGCTTCTGAGTAGAAAAGATCCGTGGGATGGGGCAGACAGAAACAGAGGCAATATGAATTAGTAGAGCTTCATCTAGCTAACCAGATGATATGAACTTGATGTCCCTGAGTCAGAGTAAGAGAAAAAAAAAACAAGAAAAAGTACTATCAACCAAGTGTACAACCTTTCGAGAGTTCAGGAAATGGACTTTATTTCCAAAACAAATACATTTGTAGCTATTTTTACAAGTGTCTAGTACATGTTCCTGCTGTTCAGGACTTGAAGATAGAGACGGTGTTCAAGGGAGAAAACCATCAACAGCAACAACAGCAGGTGCAACTCTACAACCCACTGCCACCCCATAGTCAACAACACCTGACACTTAGTGGGGCTCACACTACAGACTCATTTCTAGAGCACAGGCTGCTCCTGCATGGTTGTCCTCATCGGGGGAACCCTAACAATCATATATACACTCCTAAAACTGCCACAGCTTCTCTGCTGACAGGGTACTGCAAGGACTCACCATCCATCATTTTTATCGTTTTGTATGTGTATGAGCTCAGAGGACAAATGCAGAATTGGCACTTTCCTTTTACTCCTATGTGGTGCCAGGGTTCAAACTCAGGGGACAGCAAACACCTTACTACTGAGCAACCTTGCTGCCCCCCTTTTCTTTCTCTCTCTCTGTGTATATACTATATTAAAAATAAACTGTAGGGGGGTAGGTCGGGGGTAGGGGGTAGGGGTGGGGGGAGGGAAGGGAGAGGGAGAAGGGATTGACATGTGAAACAAGCTTGTTCCCTAACTTGAACTAAAAACAAAGAGCTGTCGGGGCCATGGTGTCTCTACAGCAATAGAAACCCTAAGAAAGACAGTGACCCATAACTACGTAACTCCAGTTTTGAGCATTCTCATGCCCCTTCTTGTACCAGGTGCACAGGTGCACAAATATATACAAATATCATAAAATTATGTATGTATGTATGTATGTAAAGAGTACCACCATTTGCAAACTTACAAAACAAAAACAAAATTACAAAAACAAATTATATTCTCACTAGCAGAGAATGGAAAGCAGAAAATGAAGCTCCATTCTGTCTCCAACTTGACTGCTTGCTTAATCATTAAGTCAAAACAAACAAAAAATGTCAAAATATAAAATTGTACTATGTAAGAAAACATCTTCAAGTCTAAATATAAATGGATTCTTTAAAACCATTTTTTTCACATGGCAGTGGGGATTGAGCCTAGGACCTCATGCCTGCTTTCAATGGGCTATATTAGCCCCATCCCTCTTACCTTGAGGCAAGGTCTCACAGAGTTTCCCAGGCTGGTCTTGAACTTGTAATCCTCCTGTCATAGCCTTTCAAATAGCTGAGTGAAATCATAGGCCTGTGCCACTGGGCCAGCTAAAAATGTTTTTCTTTAGTTGTTTTTTTTTTTTTTTAAGATTTATTTATTGATTATATACACAGTATTCTGCCTGCATGTATCCCTTCATGCAGAAGACGACACCAGATCTCAGTATAGATGGTTGTCAGCCATCATGTAGTTGCTGGGAATTGAACTCAGGACCTCTGGAAGACAGGCCAGTGCTCTTAACTGCTGAGCCATCTCTCCAGCCCCTCAGTTGGGTTTGTATGCTAACAAGTGAATTAAACTAGCTAACATAATGGTTACAATGGTGACTGATGGCACAAACATTCAATGATTCAAAATACACCAGTCATTCCCCTATTTTCTTTTTTAAATCTACTGAGATGGGAGTCTCACTACATAACCCCAGCTGACCTGGGACTCATTATGTACACCAGACTGACCTCAACTCAGAGAGATCTGCCTATCTCTGCCTCCTGCATACTGGGGTTAAAGGGATGTACCACCATGTCCATCCCCCAATCTAATTTTTAAACCAAGTATTTCAGAACAAGTGTTAGGTAACAGTCTGTCTATTTACACAAGCTACACTTTTGAGAGCAAGACACTAAAATGTATGCAGGCCACTCACCCACTAAATGAAATCATTATTTTCCAGTAATATGTATAATATGTATATAGATGCCTGATTTCTAAGAATAAGGAGGGGATAGATAGCTGTAGATGAGATACTCTAACTCAGTGGTTCTCAACCTGTGGGTTGTGACCCTTTTGGGGGTCACATATCAGATATTTATAGTATGATTCATTACAATAGCAAAATGACAGTTATGAAGTAGCAATGAAATAATTTATGGTTGAGGTCACCACAGCATGAGGAATTAAAGGGTCACAGCGTTAGGGAGGTTGAGAGCCACTGCTTTAACTGCTGAAACGATCCTTAGGTGGGGAAGGGGAAAGAAATGCAACACACACACACACACACACACACACACACACACACACACTTAAAAATAGAAATAAGATCATTTTAAAAGTGACGGGGACATCTAGCAAAGGGTCCCCCTGAAAGAATTTGCAATCACATATCTTATGACACAAGTGTACAAATCATTCATTACCTTTCAGGGTTTCCAGCAAACTTTTCGCTACAAACCAGCATATGGCTTCAAAGAAAGGGAATTTGAAAAGATCTGGTGTTTTTAGTCTTTTCTCCATCTCATAACACCTAAACGAATAAAATTTGAAGAGTAGTTAGTATTATCACTTTCAAGTTAAATGAAGGTAATCAATGGAAAACAAGCAGGCCATGATAAACATGAAGGACTATACGTTTCCCTAACAACACCTTTTGACAACACTGAACTGTGGGCCTTAATAAATTTGCTAGTCTACTTAAAGATTGCACTGGGCGAGCAGGGAAGTGGTGGAGCAAGCCTTTAATCCCAACACTTGGGAGGCAGGTGGGATCTCTGATTTCCAGACCAGTCTAATCTACAGAGCAAGTTCCAGAACAGGCTCCAAAGCTACAAAGAGAAACCCCTGCCTTGAAAAAAACCAAAAGAATTACACTGGGTACTGTAAAAAATCACTTCTTAGGATCTGTTTCCTAATTTTAACAAAAAGGGATTCTATGAGGATTCCGCTAATAGTAGGTTTAAAGATCAGTTTCATGTGTTGGACAAAGTTGCAACACCCAATGTTTCTTTAGGCTCTACCAAGCATTCAAGATCAATATCGTACTTGGCACCAGTCAAGGTATAAAGACAGGGACCACAATTTGCACAATATTGGCCTTCTGTCAGAGTCCTAACAACAACACATGTAGAAGAAGCCATCTCTTTTCCAGAAATAGCTGAGGTCAGAAAGATTAAAACTTACACCTGGTAGGCACACAACCTGCCACACCTTAAAGCCTTGTGCTCTCTCTCTAAGAGCCCCCACCTCCTTTGCTAACTGCAAAGACCAAGCATCCAGGGTTCCAATGTGCATGCAGAGTTGCAAGAGTCACCACCTTTGGGAAATCCCAACGTGCCTCCCAAAAGGTATTTCCCCTTTTCTCAGTCCTCATGTAGTATTAATCAGGAAGCATTCTTGTCATGTGTAATGTGGCTAACCCTAAGCCTTTCAAGGTACAATGAAAGAACAAAGTTAGCAAGCAGGCCAGATCTCATCAAAAGGAGAATAACTGCCCACCCTTTACCTACAACAAAATCCAAAGGTGTTCTAACAGCAACCCTGACTTAAAGACTGTTCTAGCTCTACAGGTGGTATCAGAATCTGATTAATTTATTTTCATAACACTAGTTTATAGACTAAGAAAAGCATACTTTTTGTTAAAAAGTTCCCATTCCTAGTCAGGTGGTGGTGGCACACACCTTTAATCCCCACTCTCAGGAAGAAAAGGCAGGTGCATCTCTGTTCGTTCATGGCCAGCCTGGTCTACGAGAACTAGTTCCAGGACAGCTGTCACAGAGAAACCTGTCTGGGAGGGAAAAAAAGTTCCCATTCCTATTCATTCCTCAAGGCCCATTTCCACAAGATCTCAAAATAAACACTTCATTTTCTGAATAAGAAACAAGCAAAACTGTTCTAATTAAGAACAAAAGGTCCTTTCAATATTGAGGACACAAACCTGAGCTGCATGCCAATGTTGAGGTTGTGCAGAAAGTTTCCCCCGAAAGCCATGCAGTCCTGAGAAGTGAGCACAGCATGGATCCACCCTGAAACACACAGATAAGTGATGTTTTCATTTCTAAACTCAACAGATGAGATTCTTCCTGTGAAGTCAGCGAATACAAATATCAATTTACTTCATACCCCAGAACTAAACAAGTTGGTGCTTATGACAACACATCGACTCATACATTTAAGTACTTATTTTTTTAAAGATTTTTATTTATTACGTATACAATGTATATCTGCACACCAGAAGAAGGCACCAGATGTCCTAACAGATGGTTGTGAGCCACCATGTGGATGCTGGGAATTGAACTCGGGACCTCTGGAAGAGCAGTCAGTGCTCTTAACCTCTGAGCCATCTCTCCAGCCCTCATTTAAGTACTTATTAAAAGCCTGTAATATGCTAGGCTTTGTGTGGAGTCTGAGGGAAGAAAGTGGGGGTTTGGGGTAGTGACCACTAATTGTTTTTAATACCTTCACAGTGAAATATTTTATTCTGAGGCCAGTCAAATCTGGTTTGAATTAGGAAATAACATTTTCCATTAATGAATATAAGACTGGCTGAGCAATCTGTTTCCCAAGTGTCACCATGAAGTAAGCCCCCTGAAAGGAATAAGCAGGGAAAGATCAGGAAAGACAGTGTGACACCCTGCTCCAGCAGAAGGCAAGGCAGATCACCAACATTTAAAATGAAATGCTCATGATTAAATATTTTATTTCCATTAGGGTATTTTCAAAATGAGAGGCATTTCTAACAGAAATGTTAGCAGACTGAACATAAAGACATAAAAATATAAATTCTGCTGGACATTCATATAGGTAACAAAGAATGTTCAATAAAAACCAGGACTAGAAACTAAACTTCCATTATTTTAAAAACGTACTTATACATGGTTTTGGCACCATATCCAGGAATATAACTACTCTGTAGATTAAAGAAAGCTATAGTACAGTTTTGTTTAGAAAGTTACCAGTCATCTTGGGGGGAAAAATCCCATTTCTTAGAGCAGTGCCTGTCTGAATGCAGTCCAGAAACCAGCACCATCAGTCAGCAATCTGTTAGAGATGCAAACTCTCAGGCCAATCCTGCATTCATGAAAGGAGAGCCTTGAGAGAGAGGCCCAGAAGTCTGTGGTTTAACAAGCCCTCCTGGTGAGCTTTATGCTCCATGAAGCTGGAAAGACCCCAAGCTACCCCAATGCTGATGAATCTTAGCACATGTACTGGTTTGCAGACCCGTGACTCTAATGTTGCTGTGAGTACAGGCATATAGAAAAACAGCATTCCTTCATAAATATCTTTTAACTTCTTCCTTACACATTCCAGCAGACCACTAAATTGACTTATAAAAAGTTATTTATGTAGGATGTTCAAGAATCTATGAACTTCAATTTTATTTTTAAAAGGATACAATGGAAAAATTACAATAAATACCACTAGGAGAATATTTAAAGGTAGCCTTTCAAAATCTTGACATAATTCCTAATACTTCTAAGATACTGATCCATTAATTTACTCATTACTCTACACCAGAAGCAAGGTAGAAAAGCAGAACATGTAGTAACAGCCCCATAAACTCTATGACCATTATGTCACCCAAGCCAGAAGAACACAGTTCTCAACATCATGGGCCCAGAGAGTATATTCACACTGTCATATCAATACTTATACTTGAGAAATACAGTACAGAGAAGTTTGATAGTCCTCAATGAATTGCACCTTGTTAATACAATTTTATTTAGTACATACTCAAAAGAAATTAAACAAAAGCATGCCTCTACATAAAAGTTTGTGCAATTGTTCAAAACAGCACTATTCATAAAAATCACAAAGCGGAAAACAACCCAAATGTCTATCAACTAATGAATGGGTAAGCACACTATGGTATATCCTGCAAAGGAATACTCTATGCCAGAAAGATTAAGCATTTGTGTATGTCATGGCATAGACGAGCCAAGGAAATACTAGGGTAAGTAAAGGAGTTACTCACAGCCGGGGAGGACTGCACATACCTACAATCTCATCACTCGGGAGAGGCAAGAGAATCACAAGTTCAAGGTCATTTTCAGCTACACAGTGAGCTACAGGCCAGCATGAACTATGAAACTCTGTGTCCAAAACCCAAACAAATAAAAAACCAAACACCAAACAAAAACCAGGAGGGAAGAGATAGAAGAATAGGCAGAGGGAAGAAGCCAAACACAGAATGAAATCTATTAAGCATCAAAACAGGCAAATGTGTATTAGCAGTGGCCAGAGGGTCAAGGAAGTAGGGGATGGCAGTGTCTGCTAAAAGGTATGGGGTTCCTTTTGGCCATAAGGGACAACTCTCCACTCAGACAGCAGTGATGGTTATGTGATCATACTGATCTATTAAAAATCATTGTAGCATTTAATTGGATGGTGATCAAGTCCTCTAAGGAATAATCAAGTCAAAAGTCCTTAGTCCTTCTTAGGTAAGTCCATAAAAGCTAAGTTTTATTTAACAAATATGTTAAAGCCAAAGTTGGTTCTAATAATAAGCTGACTCCATAAGACTCGCTATCAACTAACCTAGACCAGCAGGTGGGTCTTCAGTGACAGGGTCCTAAGTTGGAAGTGGCCAGGAGATGAGAAGGTAAAGAAAACAGAAAAGGTGGGGTCAGGAGATGTTGTACAAACTACGTCTTATGCCAAGCAAGCTTATTAAGATGTACAGCAAGTTGGCAGAAACCATCATACAGTAGAACAAAGACAAAGCAAAGGTAACCAAACAATGTTGCATAAGAAAAGCACAGGGTATCTCAAGAGCTGTATAGGCAGAGTACACAGCAGCCTTGGGACTGATAACCATAGCCTGGTACAGTAGCAAGAGCTGGGTTCTCAGGACCTGAAGCAGCTCTCCCAAGGTCCCAGCCCTGGGCCATTACTGGCTCTGTCAAGCATGTTCCTGGTTTTAGACAAGGAACTATTTTGTTTCTTCTCCATACATCAGGGCCTCAGGAAAAAGCTCCCAAGGCCCTAACCCCAGGCTATTACTGGCTCTGCCAAGCATGTTCCTAGTTTTAGACAAGGAACCATGTTTATTTTCCACGCATCAAGGCCTCAGCAAAAGACTTGGATCAGCCCAGCCCTGAACAATCAACCATGAAGTAGGGGATGAGATTAAAACCTTACCTGTAGGAACAAATAAGGTATGTCCCTGCTTTACCACACATTTGTAGCATTTATCTACTTTATCTCCAAAGAACACCTCACTCTGGGTCACAGATGAACTCCAAGATTCATAGAGTGCCAAATTTTCATTTGTTGGCTTTATCAAATAAAAAATCTTCTCACCCTAGAAGGAAGTAATCATACTACTTTGAAAAAGAAAAGCCATTCTCAGGATGGCCTACATTGGTACAATTTCCCAATAAAAGGATCTAAATTAAACTTAATGAGATTTTGTGTAGGTTCAAAAGTCACATATTTGAACAGCAGTTAACTCCCTAGTCAGCAAGTTCACAGGAACTAAAACTCCTCCCACCTCCAACTGACAAAGTCATCAATCCTATCAAAGAAAGCACTGCAAGAGAGGAAGATAAAAAACCACAAACAGAAGTAAATTAGTAAATTATGTCACAGCATAATCATCTCTCACGCTTCATCTTCAGAACCATAAAGATCTTAGAGATAGATATTTATAGATTTAAAAATCTGTGAATAAACTTCCTTTAGTGAACTCTTGGCACTCTCAAAGAAAGACCAGACCTCAAGAACACAGCATCAACTCTAGTCCAGAGTACTGCATAGGTACAGGAATCTGAGTCAGATCTGGTCCTGGGCCAGGCACCATGTAATGTGAAGGAAATTTCTTTATATTGTTTAATCGTGCTCTCTCTCCAGTACAGAAGTCATTGGTTAGGTGTACTATAACTCCTGTGAATGAACAACTCAATTTTAAATTACACTAAATTTTAATTATTTCAATCTAGCCCCATAAGGCTAATGTTTATTAGGCAGTGCAGTTCTGGATAAAGCAGAGGAAATAAACACTAGAAAAGTTAGTGATCTTATGGACATTTGTGGTTGTTACAACTTGTTTTCTCTTTCTCATCTTAAGGCCAGAAGCAATCATCACCACAATGCTGCTCCTTCTTAGTCATTTGGCTCAGAGATTAATGTGAATTGACTAAGGAAAAGAGAAAAAAGGAGACAAAAGGCTAACAGAAATCAACTTAAAATACAGGAGTTAAAAAGGATCTCAGTAACTCATGCCTTTTCTACTTCCTGAAACTTTTAAAAAAAGAAAGGAAAAAACAATGCACTGAGGCAGAGAATGCTTAAGGAGCAGAAAAATATTTAAGTGTTTACAAATGTTACACAAAGCAAGTGAATGTCCTACCAGAAAAATAAGGCAAGTGTTTATTAATAAGAATATAAGAAATAGCCTATTCTTACCCAAAGGACATGGTACCAGACAGAAGTCCCACCAAAGTCGATGTGGAAATCTGTGTAGCTGTCTTGAACTCCCATTAAGCAGTACTTCTGGACAAAGGGCTTAGGGAAGACTGAGTCATCTGGCCAGTAATTTTCCACCCACGAAAGTTTTCTGGCTATATCAGGGACCTCCACCAATTCTGACATCCTTAAAAAAGAAAAGAAAAAAATATATGTATACATACCAACATAATACAAATTAAAGATGTCTCAAAACTATTCTTCCCAGCCAGGCGTTGGTTGCTCATGCCTTTAATCCCAGCACTCGGGAGGCAGGGGCAGGCGGATCTATGTGAGTTCAAGGCCAGCTGCTCAAAAGAGCGAGTTCCAGGACAGGCTCCAAAGCAATACAGAGAAACCCTGTCTCGAAAATACAAAACAAAAAGAAAAACAAAAACAAAAAACAAACCAAAAAACTATTCCTCCCATGTCAACCCAAAAAAGCAATTGGATGGAACTCAAGATTAACAATACTTAAACTAAATTAAAATATATTTTATGTCATTATTATTGTTATCACTACTACTACTACTCACTGTGTAGCCCTAGCTGTCCTGGAATCAGGTTGGCCTTGAACTCACAGGGATTCTCCTATCTCTGCATCCTGAGTGCTGAGATTAAAGTTGTGTACCACTATGCCAACTACATCCTTGTTTCTAAATATTCTATGAGCCTGGCAAAGCAAAATCTACAACACTGCTTCCAATGGATAGCTATAAAAGTCACAGTTATGCTTATTAAAATAAATAAACAGCATTAAACTACATTTAGCTAAAATTGAGAATGCTAAGGCCAACTATCTAGAGATACTCACTTTGTATCTGAAAATTCGAGGCTGATCACATTTAACACTTTTGGTCTGCTAGGATTCATGAAGTATGTAACGTAATTGTGAAGTGTCATCTTACTGTCTGCCTGCCTTGCCACATCAATGACATCTATCACTTTGTCACCACCTGTAGAGAAAAAAAAAATTAAGTCTTATTATTATCCTTTTTTTGTTTTGTTTCTCTTTGTAGCTCTGGCTGTCCTAGAACTCACTCTGGAGACCAGGCTAGCCTAAAACTCAAGAGATCTGCCTGCCTCTGCCTCCCGAGTATATTACTGAACTTAAAAGTTGCATTAACAGATACTCTACACAAAATATCTAAAATCCGTATCTGCTTATTTTGACAACTAAGCCAATTATAAAACTGCATAGAATTAACATCAATATAAAAACATATAATTTACTGAGCCTTCTATGTGTCAATGATTTTTTTTTTTTTTTTTTTTTTTTGGTTTTCCAGGACAGGGTTTCTCTGTGTACCTTTGGAGTCTATCCTGACACTCTCTCTGGAGACCAGGCTGGCCTCCAACTCACAGAGATCCACCTGCCTCTGCCTCCCGAGTGCTGGCGTGCACCACCAATACCTGGCATGTCAATGATTTCTTATGGGTAGCTCATAATGACAAAAAAATACATTAAATTGGGATATGAAAATTGTCCACTGTTTGCTGGGTTTCAATTTCCTCATTTATAAAAGAGGAGATTGGCTTTCCCTTTAATTTCTGTAATCCTTAAGAGTCTAAATCTGAGGACTCGAAAGATGACTCAGTGGTTAAAAGCACTGACTGATCTTCCAGAGTACCGGGTTCAATTCCCAGTACCCACACGGCAGCTCACAACTGTCTGTAACTCCAGCTCCAGGGGACCCAACACCCACGACAAAACACCATGTATATAAAGTAAAAATAAATAAATTTTTAAAAAAGAGTCTAAATCGGTTTCTTTACAAAGGAGAGCACTGGGAGATTATTAAACATGTCATCAGGACAAATAATTTTTGTTTCACTAGTAATGTCTTCTAATATTCTCCTTGAAGAGAATCATCAAGCAAAAGCCAATTCACATTAGTCTAGTGCTGTCTGGATGCTCACATTCTGAGTTGTGATTACCTTACAGTTTTCCCTATAAAACCACTAGGTGATGCTTGCAGACCTCTTCAGCACCACCCTAGGAAGCAAAACCCTTTACAAAGGATTACAGAATAAGTTGGGATTCAAAATATGGCAATAGTTAACCAAACTGAAATAGAAAATGTAAGTGCTCCACTCTTAAGTCAATGTAAGGTCATATAGGCTAATAATAATGCCTTAGATTTCTTTTTTTTTAAGATTTATTTATTATGAGTGCACCATATCTCATTATAGATGGTTGTGAGCCACCATGTAGTTGTTGGGAATTGAACTCAGGTCCTCTGGAAGAGCAGTCAGTGCTCTTAACCTCTGAGCCACCTCTCCAGCCCCTGGCTTAGATTTATCTTCATATAAAACATAATAGTTCTACTACTGTTATTATAACCGAAGAGCTTTGCAGTACTAAAAGTTAGTGAATAAAGCAGACTGAACAACTTTTTTTAAAGATTTATTTACTTATTTACAGTGTTCTGCCTCATGTATGCTTGTACTCCAGAAGAGGGCACCAGATCTCTTTACAGATGGCTGTGAGTCACCATGTGGATGCTGGGCATTGAACTCACGACCTCTACAAGAAAAACTAGCACTCTTAACCCCTGAGCTATCTATTTCTCTAGCACCTGAACGACTTTTCCTATAATTAAGTTACACTAACCATTTACTTTAAAGGCAATTAGGTTTAAGTTAAATCTAAACCTTATTCCCTAGTTTATCATGTATTTAAATTTAGATGAATGTTTAAGTCACAGCATTTAACTCAATTTTTCTTTTTTTTAATGCATTCTTTTTTTTTAAGAGTTTATTTATTTATTATGCATACAACATTCTGCTTCCATGTATATCTGCACACCAGAAGAGGGCACCAGATCTCATAACGGATGGTTGTGAGCCACCATGTGGTTGCTGGGAATTGAACTCAGGGACCTCTGGAAGAGCAACCAGTGCTCTTAACCTCTGAGCCATCTCTCCAGCCTTAACTCAATTTTTCTAAATGAAACAATTATCAATGAAAATGAATAAAGGGACAAGTTCAGTATGACATGCCAAGGAACTAATGTATAGTAGTGGACACATAATTTTGAGACAAGGTAGATTTGGGTTCTGATTCTCAAATAACACTACCAAATGGCATATACATATTACCAGATTTATCTGTAAACTTTATAATGAGAATAAATGAAAGGAATGAAAATATCAAAAATCTGACAATTGGTAATTTTTGCCTTAATTCTTACTTTCTTGGGTCTCAAAATCATAAGTCAGTCAAGGTATCCTTAAATGGCAATATTGACCAAGTCACTAACATAAAGACATGTTTGAACTGAATCTTCTCTTTTTACAGGCCTTCCTCTAAAAGACAGGTGGTCAAGAAACAGGATCCAGAAGACTAGGCTCAGAATTGCTCCTGTCATTCTGCAGTGCTAGAACCTACAGTTCCTCATCTTCTTGGAATCTATGGCTGCCCTTTGGTAAAGACTTTCCCTACACAAATACCAAATTTAATAGGGTAGGCTGATAAGTAAGAATAAAGAAAATGTTTCATTCTTTTCTGACCATTGTCGGTCTGTGGAGTTGCAGTCAACAAAAGCACTACTAGATTTCACTTTTCCTGACCCTTATGAAGCATCCAGATGATATTTTACATTCCATGTCAATTCTGTGAAGACACTATTATTTATAATTTTACCAAATTTTTTCAAGTACTTAAAGGAACCAATTTCGTACCTACATAACGTTCCACATCCATCACTGAAAAGGCAGGTGAAGGGAGCCTGAGTCCAAGGTCATCTAATTTAGGGACCATAATAGGAACATCAAATCCATGTTTCTCCAGGTATCTTTGTGTCAGCTGACTGCCATGCATCTTAACAACAATTTCATCGGCACTAAGAAAAACATAATTGTCATTTTTATTGATAAACCGTTTATACAAGTCCCGTGGTAATGAGTTAACATGGAGAAAGAACGTGGAAGTATTTACATCAGCAGTTCTCAACCTAATTCTCCTCTTTAAAACTTTCCTGCAAAGTAAAATTCATATTTAATTAATAAAATAGATCATATGGGAATGTAAAATACTGGATTCAGTACAACAGTTATGGAGTGAGGCAAATTATGCATTCATATGAAAAGGTACCTATGATAAAGATCATAAGGGCAAACTGTATATAATAGCATTCCTAACACAATCACATCTTTAAAGAATCACACACACACACACACACACACACACACACACACACACACACACACACGTTCTGATGTAGAAAGAAAAGCTCAAAAGACATTAAGCCTTAAAAAGGGGATTGTGAAAAACCATTCAATTTATTTTATGTACATTACATCAACTATGTTTAATTCAATGCTTATTATTTTACTATGGTTGAAATAACCAAAAGCTTATGGAGTTAATCAAAAGTAGCCCTTTAGTTAACAGCAATAACAGTATGGATGTTTGTGATCAGCTGTAACATATTCTCTTCTGTGTTTACATTGGCAGAAAAGTGTATGAATTATTAATGATTTAATGGTCGAAAATCTCTGAAATAAGTGAAAGCCATATCTCCTTTCCCTGAAAAAAAAAATGTATACCCACGGACACTAATTTGCATAGATGATTTTGGAAGAACATAAAACACCTCTGAGACCTGTAAGTAGGCCTAGAGTAAAAGTCTAGGGCTGGGCCCAAATAAATCAAGCACTGACCAGTAAAAAGGAAAACAAGCAAACTTCTTCCTACAACTTGGGCACTGGTAACTGACAGCTTGAGAACAAGACTCTTAATTCAACAAAACTCAAGTGCAAACACTATTTCATATATTTTCTATTTCTCAGCCAACCTGAGGGAGGCAGATGTGGATGGTTTTTCATTGAGTTTCAGTTTTAGGACTAAAAGGTAGAGAACAGAGCAGAGAAATCTTAAAGACAGAAGGAAAAATCTCAGGGTTTTCATTTCAAGATCTGAAAGAAATTGGGTAATAGGCTGAACTTGATACTATGATTTAAAATTAAACTGTGCTCCCCTCTTTAACAAACTGAGATATGATCTGTATAAAGCCAATTAAGCATTTTCTCTTTAAATAGATGCCAGGCAGTGAGTAGGAAATGATGTGAATTAGCATGATTAATGCTTTACACTGCTTCTGACTCTCTCTTAGCCTAGACAACTCAAATACACTTCATTATTGTTCAGAATCAAGACGCTCAGACCTGATGCCATCAGAGACTAAGCAACAGCCCTGCGCATGCCTCTGGTGGACCCAGCGCACAGACAGCTGATATGGTTATTTGGGAAAAATGAAGGTGCAAATCAGGGAAAGGTGAAAAGAAAGAAGAAAAACAGTGGCCGCATTATCAGAAGGACTCAGAAATGAGAACTGCTTCAAATTAGTGTATTTCAAATTCTGGGGATGAATATTTTTACATGGCGACCCAATTTGCATATAGGTATAGATATAGATATCATTAGTTCCCTGAAACTAAGCCTAATTACTCCTGTGACTTGTAATCTACTTCCTTTACAGAAAAAAAGTGAAAAGCCAGTTGACAACAATGGCAGGGTACCACCTAAATTTTAAAGACCCCTTTAGATAATTCCACTTTATGAGCCAATGTGTTAAACACTGTTTGAGCCAGAATAAGTTCCCCTACCTTGGGAAGACTCGAGAACGCAGTGCTTTGATGAAGGCCCTGGTTCCAGCTTGCACAGGTTTGGAGCCATCATCCACCTCTGTGTAGTCATGCCTGTGCCAGTTCCTCCTCCTCTTCACTGAATTTGTACAAAGTCAGGGAAAGAAAACACTTCTGGTAACTGGTAATACTATCTAATTGTTATAGTCTACATAATCAGAACTAACAACTATAGGTACAATTATAACACTCACGTTTTTAATTGCATTCCCAGGCCACCAATTTTTTTTTTTTTTTTGCAAAACCTAATGCTGTAATTATAAATAATTAACTGTGGGTTTTTAAAAGTCTGACCATTATTCAAAATAATTTAAAAATTATAAGAATTAAAAGCAGCAAATGAAGTCTGTTATTTACGCACATTTAACCATGCTGTAACATTTGCAAATTGTTTAAAATTAGTTTATTAAAACAATGAGTCATACTATGATTAACCACATCATCCAAATTATCTTCTCAGGATAAGGCATTTTATCACACATCAAAAATCCATTCCAACATCACAGCGCTATTCTTGTTCATGTAAGGATGTAGTCTCCAAATAAGCACATACTGACACAAAGAACAGAGAACAGTTCACCAGGACATAATTAAACAAGACCAGTGCTGTGATAAAAAAAAAAAAAAAAAAACCCAAAAACTTCAAGGTTAATTGAGATGCTAAAAACCTATGGTTCTAAAACTGAAGGGCAGGGGGGAGAAAATCTTGATTAGTCCTCACAGTGAAAATCAGGAGACCTAGGTTTGATTCTTAGTTCATCCACAGACTTCCTCTGCAACCTTAGGAAGGTCATTTGACACCTCTGGATCCATATTCCTCAAAGTGGGAATGGAATGAACGAGGTGGATCAGTGTGCTGATTTTAAAGTGTACCTAACACACCCTTAAACACCATTGAAGATGGTCAATGAAAGAGATGGATCAGTGTGCTGATTTTAAAGTGTACCTAACACACCGTTATCTAAGAGGAAGATGGTCAATGAAGAAAATGGATACCTCTCTATTTCTGTCTTACCTATATAGCTCGTTTGTGTGATACCAACCTAAGATTTCACTGTCTTTGTGTTCCAATTCCAGGAACACTGACCATGTAACACCGCCTAACCTAGAACTCATAATCCTCCTGTTTCTGTTTAGATAAGTTTCAGTTATAAAAGAATCCTTTTTAAAGGCTAAAACTCCCATCACTCTAACTTTCTGGTACTGATATCAGCAACTTCCTTAGAAATACATTTGTTTTAAAGAGTAAGACTGATCGACGGTGATATAATAATTATATGGAGAAATAAGGAGAAAGGCAAGTGATGGGAGATGATAACAGTATGCGAAGTCTTCTAGGTACTTGCTATAAAACTACGTCAACTTTCCCTGTGTGCCTGGACATTTTCCTAACAAAATGTTTCAGAGAAAACAACCATGTGATTTCAAGATAGTTTATTATTTTTGAGGCAAGGTTTCATGTAGCCAGGATATATGACCTTAAATTTTGATAATCCAGACACCACTTCCTGGAGTGCTGGGACTATACGCATGGCAAGCACATAACCATATCTAGTGGGAATCACACTCTGGACTTCATGCATGCTCTACCAATGGAGCTATATATACCCTAGCTTAATTTCAAGTTATTTTAAGTATTTCCCTTACCAAGATCATAACACTGGATCCCCATCTAGATAAAGGTCACAAATAGACCCAACAGATGTAGAAATCAAAATTATTTATATCTAAGAGTCTAAAACAAGATTCTCAAGTAAGTAATTGTGAGTAGAGTCATCCCACCCACTTTAAATCTCCCAAGAAAACTTCTGAATGACAGATTAATCTTCCTAGGAAATTCCACTAAGGTAACCTTTGTGTGTTATTTTTTCTCACTGGAAACCATTCATACAGTGGCTAGAGAGATAGCTCAGCAGATAAGAACACTTGCTGCTCTTGAAGAACACTAGAGTTCAGTTCCAAATACCTACATCAGGTGGATCTCTGATGACCTCTTCTGCCCTCCTCAGTTGTGCACTTGCTCAAGCGCTCGGGCACGCGCACACACACACACACTTAAAAATAAAAACAAATCTTTAAAACCATTCCCATAATCCAAGAGCATCTTGGTGTAGGTTTCCCTCTACTATACACAGATATAAAATTTATTTTATCTGGCATCATGTTTTTATACTATTTTCTTGTTTATGAGCATTTTCTCCTTACTAAATATTCAAAAGCAATGTAAAAACAGACAGCAATTGCAAAGTACAGATGTTGCCGTGTTATAATTATTTTGATTCTTAAGCACAGTGGTGGTTGGAATGAGAATGGTTCCCAGAGGCTAATGTATTTGAATACTTGGTCCCTAGTTGGTGAAACTACTTGGAAAGGATTAACAAGTGTGCTCTTGTTGGAAGAGCTGTGTCATTGGGGGGGAAGCTTTGGAGTTCCAAAAGACTGCCAATTCCCAGTACACTCGCTTTCTCTGCCTCATGGTTGTTCATCAATATGTGAACCCTCAGCTGTTACTTTGCTCTGCCATTGTGGACTCTAGCCCTTTGAAACTAAGGCAAACCAAATGCCTCAGTCATACTGTTTCACTGCAGCTGTAGAAAAGTGACTGAGACAAGCACTTCATTTGTTCCCAGGCTTTCTGCATTTATCATTGTAATTAAGAGCTCTCTACATAAATCTTTTTCTGTTATTAATTCTTCAAGATAAATTTCCAGCAATGCTAGAAGAAAGTGTGGTGTTTTGGCTGCGATGGCCCCCAGAGGCTCATATACTTGGTCCCCAGTTGGTAGCTGTTTGGGATGGATTAGGAGGTGTTGTTGGAGGAGGAATGTCACTGGTGACCGTGCCCAGTGTGCAATCTCTGCCCCCTGCTTAGAGATGGAGATGTGAGTTCAGCTGCTGCCCCAGCCACCTACTGGACTCCACCATAATAAACACTACCTCTGGGACCATAAAGCTGATTAAACTTCTTTATAAGTCGCCTTGGTCACAGCAACAGAAAACTAATACAAACAGTGCTATTTTAAAGACATTTGTTGTATACTGCAAAATGGCCTCCAGGAAAGTGGGAGTAATTCCATTCCTACCACACAGGTAGCTCTGTGTTAACAACAGGCATCATCATTTAAAACACAAAACAAAAAAGCTGCCCATTTGCTAAGAGAACTATGATGCTGACCCCACCACCAGCCAAGGCCTCTTCACGTAATCCTGGCTTTCCTAGAACTTACTACAGAGACCAGGCTGATCTTTAATGACAAGTGCCACCAGGCCCAGCCAGATATTCCATCTTTTATTTTAATTTTTGCAGAGCACAATAATCAGAAAAATATACTCAATTTGTTACCTGATAGCTATGGATCCAAACTACAGCTCTGACAAATAACTATACAATATTTAATCAGATACCTTCTCTTCCATCTCGTATAACTTTGTTGCACATACTGAAGGAGATAATACAGGTCAAATATCTACTAACTATAAAAGCTGGTATATAATAACCTACCAAAATACTGTAACTTCCTTTAATGTGCTAACTTATAGATTAAGAGAAACATGCAACTGTCCTATTTGGCCAACACACTTGAAACATAAAATCATCCACTACAACAGCTGACTGGATTTTTCTAAAGAGGAAGGCATAGTTTAAGTAGAAGTCACAGGGAAAGGGGAGCAAAATGTCTGCCTTGGCTGCATGTGCCTGAGGAGCACACAGAATGTATATATATTTAAATGCTGAGCAGCTTTCTGCTTTAAAATCAAGTTCTTAATTGGTTGGGACCAGAATATAGTCTGATGTACCTTATCTTATTTATAAGTGGGTATTACAGTTTCTCTATTGTATCTATAATGAAGACATCTAGGATATTCTGAGAGGAACAGGAAGCCCTGGATATCAAGAAACACCTCATAGCAGAGGGAAAGGAATCAAATATAGGGGAAAGTGAGCGAGCCTTCCATCAAGACAAACAGACCACTGCATCCTGGGCATCTTCCCTCCAAGTTGGATGGTTCCCAGAAGATGACCAATGCCTGGTATGAAGTTCTTTTGAGAGAAGAGGAATTCAAGGACCAAGTAATAGGCAAGCTTCTCTCTGAAGCATCATTATTCAAAGTCTGGGCTGCAATCCATTATGGTCTATGTAATCAATTTAGCAAGTGTGATAAGATTTTAATAAGATGGTATCATATGGAAAAAATAGACTGTGTCGTTAATGTAGTACTGCCTCTTAGTAACTCAGTATTTCATACAAATAAATTCAAATAATTTCACTTAGGGAATAGATATTTGAATTTTACACCAAAACTGATATGAAAGCTAGTTTTGCCTGAAATACTGTATTATTTACCTCTTCCTGACTTATTCTTGACCAAAACGTATTTAACTTATATACAGCATACATCAGTGTTACACCAAGCAAGATTCACGCAATAATTTTACCAGGTGTCTTGAATTTAAGTTTTATACTGTACACTATGAAAACAGGTAACCTGTATTTGACATCAACTATTCTTATGCATTACTGCAGCTTTAATTCCTATGTCTTTTTTAAAGAGATTATGAAAATTATTAGTATTTCTAATAAATGATCAGCCTAATTGTTACTAAGACTCTTTTACATGTTACTTTCACGTAACGAAACTTTTACTTAGAATAGTACGGGGGGGGGGGGGGGGGGGGGTTGGGAGACGGGAGGGAGAGGAGTGGAGAAGGGGGGACAGTACAATATGAGGGATCAGGAACAAAAGTCCATATTCAAAACAAAGAGGCTATAAATTACCTACACACCACCCACAGTTTATCAAAGTACCCTCAGTCAAAGGTTCCTTTTTGTTTTGTTTTGTATGTTTTTGAGATAGGCCTCATTATGCACCCCTGGCTGGCCTGTTATATAGACTTGGTAATTCTTGAACTCACAGAGATCTGCCTGCCTCAGCCTCCCAAGTGCTGGAAAAGGAAGCTGGGGGGGGGGGGCTTTGATGACTTGGGTACTGGAATTGAAGTCTGAGCCTTAGCCTTTAATAGCTGAGCTATCTCTCCAGCCCTCTTTCTAGTTTTAAAATACAGTCTACAGTTTCCCTTTAATTTTACAAACCAAAAATTATAGTTTACAGTCAAAAATTTATAAATAAATAGCTAAATGCCTTTTAAATATTTTCTCTCGAATCTGTACAATGGTATCTCAATTTCGTCTTTGGAAGTATCTGTAAAAGACCGAATCTGAGTAATCTTTTGTTTCTAATGCTGGTATACTCTAGTGTAGTGAAAGAAAAAGATTCCAGCCTTTACCTTGACTGTCAGCATGGGCACTCTGGCCTTATCCTCATTCCTCTTTATCTTTCTGTGGACACCGGGGGGCCAATAAAGGAGTTTTAAGCAGATACTCTTTGACAACCAAGTTCAGTAAGTACATGGAATATTTTACCTATCAATACCCTGATTTTCTCCCAAATACACAATGTGCATCTGTCCATTAGAGCCAAATCTTAACTCTGAATATTGCTCCAATACAGCATGATATTATCAGTCACAACAGGTTTCCAGAATCAGGTAAGTTTTTCTTTGCATGCTTTATGTAAATTACAAGGGCTTTGTTGTTTTTCTTTTTTTTTTTTTAAGATGTACTTAAATTTGAGGGCTCTCCAGGAGGAATTAAAAATGTTAGTATTTGGGGGGCAGAATGAGGGGTGGGAGGGAGAACTGTGGTTGGATGTAAAATGAAATTTAAAAGAATAAATAAAATTTTTTAAAATGTTAGTATTTTTCTCCCTTATTCTTGTGGCATATTTAATAATTCAAACAAAGGCTTATTATCTGGAAGAGGCAGAGGCAGGAAGATCACCAAGAATTTAGGGCCTGGAGATGGTGGCACAGCCTTTAATCCCAGCACTCTGAGGGGAAGTAGGGGCAGAGCCAAGTGGATCTGTGAGTTCAAGGCCAGGCGGACCTACAAATCAAGTTCCAGGATAGCCACAGCTACACAAAGAAACCCTGTCTTGAAAATAAAACAAAACAAACAAAACAACAAAAAAACCCACCAGACTGCCTCAAATTTTTAATTATTTTTAGACAAAAACTGTATTGCATTTTCAGTGGTATCTCCCCTACAGCTCTTGATATTCTAATACGTATTGGAGTATCATGAAATTACCATCGTTCACATTTAAGTTTTACTTAAGCGTCTAGTACTTACTCAAGGAAGGGCCACGAAGAGCCGCACAGTTGGGGCAGTGGTACAGGTCAATGTCAACAGCATGGTGCTCTTCCACACCAACACAGCTAAGACAGAGACAAATCAAATCAAATGTTTGCACCTGAGGTGAGGAATGTACAATAATTCAAAGAGCAAATCTGAAACATACACAAGAATAAATTTTATTATCCTCTCCCTCCCATTATACTTGCTAGTAACTGTGGGTGAGAATATATCCAAATGTACATGAAGCTATTCACTTTTAGCAGCAGTGGGAACATCAAAAGTAATGCATAAAACCCTCAAGCACTATGTAAATGTCATCTGTTCTAAAATTATTGTCAATAAGATGAGTCAAACGCAAACCATAATGAGATTCTGTACATTATTTTCATCTTAACAATGAATGTACTCCATAATGTAATTTGTGGATTGTAGAATTTACAAACAGAAATGTATATCCTTAAATGGATGTGTTTGAAAAAGGAAGACTGGCATTACTGAGCTAAGCATATACACCTCAAGATGTTACCAAGAACATCAAAACAAACCTTTAGAACAAAAGTTCCATCAAAATTTCTGTTACATTCCTCACAGAACTAGAAAAGGCAATCCTAAAATTAATATAAAAACACAAAAGTAATACTAAGTAGAAAAGGCAACGCTGGAAATACGAATACCTAATTATCAACTTACACTACAGAGCCACAGTAACATAAACAGCATGGTGTCCCCACAAAAACAATGGTGTTAGGGAAACTGGCCATTCCCACATAGAATGAAACCAGGTACCTATCTCCCTTCCAGCACAAAAATCACTTCAAAATGGACCCGAGATCTTAATTTATGACTTCAAACTTTGAAAGTGTTGGAGGGGAAAAACAGACAAAGCACTTGAAATAGGCACAAACGAGGACTTCTGAAAAGGCAGCTAGTAGCACAGAAAATAATCCCACGAGCTGACAGATGTTACTGCATGGCAGTAAAAAGGAAACATCAAGGCTGGAGAGATGGTTCAGCATTTAAGACCACTGGATGCTCTTCCAGAAGACCCAAGTTTGAGTTCCAGCATATTTTTTTTCTAAACATAAATCTTTTAAAAATAAATTCTTCTGAAAATGACTGATAAAATTCAGTTTAATCCCAATCAATGTAGAATCTCACAAAATGATTCTAAAAATGATGTCAAAATGGAAAAAGCCAAGAATGTGCAAGATAGTTAAGTATTCTTACGAGGGAAAACAAAGTTCTACTACATATGAAAACTGATTGTAAAGGCCATCAGAACACATCAGTGCTCCCAAGCGCAGACCCTCACACATAGGGACACTCACATGCAGCATAGGCAGTCACTGAAGAGTGAACACACAGGACAGACTTTTGAATGAAAGGTTCTAAGATACACTTCATTCATTCTTATGGGAAAAAGAAAAAAAAAAACTTACAACTGTTCTTGAAATGTTAAAAATTAATTATAGTTGCCAGGCAAGGCAGTACACATCTTTAATCCCAGCACTTGAAAGGCAAAGGCAGGTGGATTTCTGTGAGTTTGAGGCCAGCCTGGTCTACATAGTAAAGCCTTGTCTCAAAAAACAAAACAAAAAAATTTAAATGAGGTTATAAACCTAAGTGCAAACAGAAGGAAAAGGCACAAAACTTATACAGCATAATACTGAAAATATGACTTTGTGATAGAAAGTTTATCTTAAAACACAAAAGCACCCATGAGGGGAGAAGCTGGTCATTTCAGCCATACATATTAAAGTAACTTCTGTTCATTAAACTACAATTTTATGATAAAGGGCAAAATAAGTCAGAGTAACATTTCAATGCAGATACTCACCAACTATGAAAATTCATAAATAATGAGAACTATAATTAAAATGACAAAAATTTCCATAATATTCCACTATACCTGCTAAAAAATACCAAGTGTGAAGATACTAAATGTTGAAGAGTATATGAGCAATAAGGACTAATTCAATATAGCAATTTTAGAGAACAAAATATATGCAATATACACCAGATTACCTAACTATATGCAAATGGATAATCTATTTATAAATCTGTCAACAATGAAATTAATTACAGTATATTCTCATAATAGAATTCCATACAGAAATGAATATTCAATGAAGAACTACAGTCCTACACAAAGAACAAATAAATTCTACAAATCAAGGGCTGGAGAGATAGCTCAGCAGTTTATATGAGAGTGTGTTGCTCTTACAGAGGACCCCAATTTGGCTCACAGCACCCATGTTAGACAGGTCACAAGTCCCTTAATTCCAACTCCAGAGACTCTAATGTCCTTTTCCAGCCTCTATGGGCAGTGTACTCAACATGCACAAACCCCCCCCACACACACACATAATTAATTTTTTGGTAATTCTACAAATTAACCCATTAAGTTTAAAAAGAGAAAAACAAAGAAAAAAGACACAGCCAGGTATCATGGCACACACCTATTATCCCAGCACTGACAAGGATCACCCACTTACGGTCAACTTAGGCTATGTAGTGAGACTGTTTTAAGAAAAAAAAAAAATTAAGATATAAAAGAAGAGCCTCAGCCAGGTGTTGGTGGCACATGCCTTTAATCCCAGCACTCAGGAGGCAGGGGCAGGTGGATCTCTGTGAGCTCAAGGCCATCCTTGTCTCCAGAGCGAGTGCCAGGATAGGCTCCAAAGCTACACAGAGAAACCCTGTCTCAAAAAAAAAAAAAAAAAAAGAGCCTCTTGGGCACAGTGGCACACACCTTTAATTACAGTACTCAGGAGACAGAGACAAGCGGATCTCTGAGTTTGAGGCCAGCCTGGTGTACAGAACCAATTCCAGGACAGCCAAAGCTACACAAAGAAATCCTGTCCTGGAGGGAGGGAGGAATGGCAGAAGCTGAAGGGACTGCTCTGCAGTTAAGAGCATTGCTCTTGGAGAGGATGCAGGTTCAGTTCCCAGCACCCACATGGTGACTCACTACCATCTGTAACTCCAGGTCCAATGTCCTCTTCTAACCTCTATGGACAGCTGGCATGTGTGTGGTATACATACATAAATGTAGATAAATCATAAAGCTGAAAAGTTCAAGTGTGAGAGTACAGCATATTCCCAACACTTCATTCAGAGACAGAGGCAGGAGGACTGCCCAAAGTTCCAGACTAGCCTGGGTCTCTACAGTGAGTTCCATATCATCCACTCTCTTTCTAAGACAGAGAGACCTTGTCTTACACACACACACATAACACACACACACACGCGCGCGTGCGCACAGAGTCAGATGAGGTTAGTTAAACCTGAGTAGCTCAAATGGGATATATAAAAGATGATTGTAAATAAATGAGGTTATATGAGAGCTATCTCTGTAGGCAATGCAAGAGCTCAAAACCAGACTACCTGAATTTTGAAAATTAGGTTCATTAGGTATAATAGGTTCTCTCCCCCGCTCACCCCCCCCCCCCCCCCCCGCGAGTTTCTTCTGTGTTGTCATGACAGGGTTTCTCTGTACTGTAACTGCAAGTGTCTCTCCTGCCCACCAGTTTCCAAATAACCACTCAGAGGCTTATATTACAATATATACAAATATTTGGCAGATGGCTCAGGCTTTTACTAACTAGTTCTTACAAACTTAAACTGACCCATTTCTATTCATGTGTGTATCGCCACAAGGCCCATGGTTTACTACCTCACACCTTGCTTCTCCAGTGGCTGCTGGCATCTCCCAGATTCCCCAGATCTCCCTGTATCTTTGCTTCGATTTCCCACCTGGCTCTATTCTGCCTGGCTACTGGCCACATCTGCTTCTTTATTAACCAATGGCAATAAAACATATTCACAGTACACAGAAAGGCACCCATATCACTGTATAAGAACCGTGACTGTCCTGGAACTCTCTTTGTAGATGAGGCTGACCTCAAACTTACAGAGATCTGCCTGCCTCAGTCTCACAGGTACTGGGATTAAAGGTGTACGCCACCGCAGCCATTTATGTAGCAGATTCTCTACTCCCAACAAAACAGAAACTTACACCCATTGAAACCCACCTAGCACTTCTAGAAAGACATGGATTGTCTTGTCTGTCCTTGCCCTAACTTGATTATCACATTTCTTCTCCTTAAAAAATGATGGTAATATCAAAACAATTAACTAATATGCCCTGGAAAACCTAAACTGGCTCATATCAACTCATCTACAAACAATAAAGTACATAATGGTGAGTCCCACAATACTCAGGGGAAGAGGAGGCAGGGGTATTACAATTAATTAAAGACATTTAGGGCAAAACTTGACTATTCTCAAAAACAGGGTTCCTCTCTCCAGCTTCTAATTCTCACCACCCCTGGCCTCTATCTGCTTTACTAAAATGCCAGTGAGCCAAGTGTGGTGATGCACATCCCCAACACAGCTGGAGGGAGGGTCAGGGGTTCAAGAGCATCCTTGATACACAGTGAGTTCAAGGCCAACCTGGGTTACATGAGACTCTGTCTCAAAAAAGTACAAAATAACATAATACATATTAAAACATAAAATATAACACCAGTGATGTCTTCTACTTTTGGCTAATTACCATCAACTAGCAGAAGACACCTAAACTGACTTAGAAACTTCAATCTTAGCAAATTTGGTAACCCAGAAATAGTCAATTTGGGTGTTGGAGAGACAGCCAGTGTTAAAAGCATTTGCTGCTCTTGAGGACCCAGGTTTGGCCCCCAGCACCCATATGGAGGCTTACAACTATCTGTAAGTCCTGTCCTAGGGAATCCGACACCCTTTTCTTCTGTGGGCACCCACAAATGTACATAGTACACTTTTATACATGCAAGCAAAATGAATACACCTAAAATAAATAAAAGTATCTTTAAAATAGTAAATTTGGTAAGTGAATAAATCTGAAAAGGCACATTTAAATAAATCATACAAAATATAATTTTAGAATTAAAATTTAATGTTTTACAACCAACACACTCTTCTATCAAGCCTATCCACTGCTCACTCAAAGAACCCTACAATCTCTCTAAGAAATAGTAAGAGAAAGACAGCAGGACTCATGAGACAGATGCACAACTCTGGAAGCAAAGTCTTAAGGTTG